ATTAATTTAATGCATTTCTCCAGCAACTTATTTTGGGATTCTCATTTTGTTCTAATCAAAGGTTAATAATTATAACTATGTATTTTTTTTATATATATCTTTATATCGTTGTAAAAATCAGCATTTTGCAAACTTTAACATGTCTCTTTAAAAAGAAAATTGAACATGCCTTTTTTAAACTTCATGAGACTAGGCAGTGACTTTAAATGTTAGATATTAGAATAAACTAAATCCTTGCCTACCAAAATTAATCTCAGTTGAGGTTCAGGATACAGATTATAAAAAAATTATGATTGCCATTTAAGTCTAAGTCTACTTCTCACTTATATGTTTACAGCAGGGGCTGAACTAAACCATTTAAATTGCACTGATGGTTTGCCTAAGGATAAGTGATATTTTTTCCACCTGTATTTTTCACTATGAATAATCAACATGAATTAGAATAATATATTGAAGATGCATTTGTTTGGGAATTGCTGATAAATTTAACTTATTTTATATAATTTATTCTAATTTAAAATTACTTTCAATTATAAAACAACATATTACATACTATTTTAACATTATTTTTTCCATTGAATCTTTTATTTTCTCATTTGACATTTTATAAAAATGAAAGTAATCATGTTAAAAAAAAATTAAACAATTAATGAAATTTGAAATAAAAGACACAAAATAATATGATCTTCCAGCCTCCTTTGATACGGCTTGAATGAATATGAAGAAAAACATACCTAGTTTTCTTTTGTTTTTTCAAAATTATCATTTTGTGATTTTTTTTTACATTTTAGGCTTAACATTTAAATGAAGTATTAAAAAGCAAAATGTAATGTCAGAATTTTGACTATCAATTTTATCATTCATTGTTCAAATACAACTTGCACCAAGCATGCTCCTTTTTCACACTAAATAGGGCAGATATCTTTAACTTTCTTTGAACTGCTATACATAAATTTATTGACATGTCAAAAGATTTGTGCAATACAAGAATACATTCTTCATAGAAAATTGTTATATTTTGGTTATCTTTCATATAATATAGATATAATTTGTTTCAGTGGGATCATAATATATATAAATATATATTTGTACCATTTACATTGAAACAAAAAATATTTTTTGTATTGTTGGTAAATATTTTCATAAAATACAAATTAATTTTTATAATGTTAAAATTCACAGAAACTTTTGGGAACCCAAAAAAGAAAACATCTTGCTCTTTAAAAATTAAAAAAAATTTCTCTTCTGAAAGTATAACTAATAAGTTTTTGTTTTGTTTGGTTTTTTTTCACATTATTTTTAACTTTTCTTCTTTTAGACATAATTTTATAGTGAAGGGTTGGAATATCCTTTGACTTTCACGATTCTTTTAATGAATGTAAAAAATTTAAGTCTGTTAGATCTATGTATAAGCCTACTATTACAGGGTTAGAGCTAGAGCTAAATTTCATTAACTTTGTTTTAATAAAATTTTTAATTTTTTCTTTAAATATGTTTTAAAATAACTTCATCACAAAATTTTTTTTTGTGTACATATTATTTTTGGTTGGTTCTTCTAGTCCTAGGTGTATTTTTGTTCTAGAAATCACATCCATCTTTTAGTGCATGGGTCAAACACCTGCACTCTAACACCTCCCCTTGATTCCACACTAACTTTATTTTGATGTGGCCAAGGAGACACACACTTCTTAATTAGCTTATTTCTATATCTATACAATATTTATATTGACTAATAATTTATTATTGGTGGATGTTGGAAGGAGTAAACTTATGTGTTCTTATGCAAATGGTTTTAGTTGAAAGTTGATGTCTATCCAATACATTAAATTACTTCCCTTTGTGCAGGAATGGACAATGAAAAAAAAAATGAACTAAAATATAAAATATCATCATTTATTGTTAAAATAATTATATTCTATTGTGAATAAGTGTCAACAGCCAAACTTAATGTGTCTCACTTCAGTCAAAATAAAAATTAGTATCCACTATAAAGATCCATTGTTAGAGGCTCTGGCAAGCCTAGTTAGAGGCTCTGGCAAGCCTAGTTTCAATTGCACTGGACATAAATTTAACCTGTAGCCTTGACATTCAATCTAAGACAAAACAAGTGTTGAAAATCATCTACATCTTTTGATTCGGTATTTGGAATATTGTTATGAAAGTGCAACCAGTCCATAAATTACAAATGGCAATGGACATAATACTTACTAACAAGAGTAATGTTGCCAAGGGAACAATTGCAAGGGCAAGGAAGCAGCAATGGAGAGTTGCAATTTCACAATGACATTTTCTAAACAAAGCTGTGGCTCGCTTAAAATTGTCCATTATAGAGGTTCTGTTTCCTTTCAGATCATGAACAATCTTGTTGGCTGTGAGGTGAGGCAAGATGAAGTTGTTGTGAAAATGTTTCAAGTGTTGAGTTCAGGGTGTGACAGTGGTGACAGAGGTCGCCCAAGCCATGTCGGCGGTCTGCGCGGTCGAGGTCGGGGAAGTGTGGATGATGGTCAGGGCGACGGTGACAGAGGACACGGCGGCTACAGGGGAGTCGGCATCATGTCGAAGTCATTGCTGTCTGTGATGGAGCATGTAGCAGATTGGCAGAAACGAAGCAATAATCGCCAGCCAGTTTGTATTATATCCAAGTTAGTATCACACTAGAAATCGTGAAGCGCTTTGCCATTTGAATTTGTTTGCTCAACATTTCCCATAGTCTAGTATGTAGCCTGCAAACATTGTGACATGAGAAGGGGAAGGGAAGGGTGCATGTGAATTCTCTCATCATCTGAGAAATAATTTTCAAATTAAGTTTTGTTAGTCATTCAGTCATGCTGAAAAGTTTAAAAGCTCTAAATAGTATATATATATATTATTAAATAATTCACACTAACAAAATATAGTTAGAATATTTAATCAACCAGCTGATGGGTAATTTTTTAAACTAAAATTAATCAGAAGAGGTTTAGAATGCTATAAAGAGGTTACAAGTATCAATTCTATTTGTAATGAATTAGGACGAGCATTTATTGAAGACTGAGCAAAGAGGTTTATATTATTATTAATCAGTTCTCAGCATGTCGGTGAGCCTTATTTGAGAGATATAATCAACTTATTTATCATTAGGAAACAACTAAGTAAGCTCATTATCAAATTTTAATGTTTTAATAGAATTTAAAAAAATAAATTAACATTAACCTCATTAGCCTAATAATAATTTTGACCTTGACCCATGAACCGTCTCCTCAGTGCATAGATAAAATATGGCTATGCCTTAGAGCATTTCTCAGCATTTCATCCTATTTGCATTCTAGTGCTAAATCTTTTAATCTAATCAAGGCCCTCTCACTCATTGTCAATATCTATACAGTACATGTTTTTTTGGTTAGTTTTTTTTAAACGTTGGATATATTTTTCAATTTGTTTCCCTGTGTGTTTCAGTTTTAACAGTTGCTTTTTTAAATTATTTTATCAGAACAAAAATTGAACTATAATGATGTATTTATTCGCATAGAGATAGGACAGTTAGCAGAGGAAGTGTGAAAATATGAGATTATATTTTTAGATTGACACAATGTGGTTGAGCAGACATTTTGAGGACAATAGAAGAACAAAAAAAAAAGCAATGTTTGATTGTGGAAAATGACTTATGACAGATTTCAGACTTACCATCAAGAATAAGTCTTCAGTACGTGCTTTGGAAAGTGGAGTGCTCGAAAAAATGCACATCTCAAACTATAAGGCTTGTTGTAAGACACTGTTGGGAGACACTGGTCAAAAAGAATGCTTTTATTATGCTTTCTTGTTTTAAATAAATACTCTTTAAAATTCTGAGATTAAAAAAACCAAAAAAAGCAACAACCATGCATTCATTTTTAAGCTTCATCTGTTAGTTCATGTGTTGTCTCCATTAGACTAATTCTAATTTAGATCCAATTTTCTATCCACCAGAGATGGTTGTAGCCGTGTCGGTTTGTACTGTGCTATATCAATATGCTGTGATCAAGTGAGGGTAGAGAAGGAAGTGGATGTTTTCAATGCTGTCCGAATGGTCAGAAAGAATCGTCCTCAACTAGTTCCTACCATTGTCAGTATTTTAAAAAAAATGCTTTTTTAAGAATTTTTATGTTAATTTAAATTAGTTAAGGCTAGGTCATTGTAAAGGGAATAAATTATTTTACATATTCTAAGATCAAATTAGCTGTCCAAAAAATGAACCTAATTTTCACACAAAATAAATAATTATACACAACTATATAACTTTGTTTAAGTAGAAGATAAAGTCTGATAGTAAATAACTCTTGTGGCTGTTATTTTATAGACTAAATTTTCAAAATGTTTTTATTAGTATCAGTGTAGACCTCCACAACCCTTCACAAACTACTTGCATAAAAGATTCAGCATTTTAACACAGTATTTTATTTTATTGTATAAAACCATATTTTTAAAAACTTCTATGCAAGTGCTACAAATAGCCATTTCTGGTCACAGTCTGCTTGTCCCTGTTAAGTTGTATTAATGAAATGTATTTAAATGACTTGGGGTCAATTTCACAATGTATTAACTGTAATTAACCACCCTACTATCATTAATGTGTTTTGTTTTCAGGAGGAGTATCGGTATATTTATCACTTCATGACAGAGTTCATTCTCTTATCTGCGTCCAAGCCTGACATTATCATCTCTGAGCCACCAGCAGACTACATACCGCACACTGGCAGCCTTCATCGCATTGCCACCTGTCCCACAACAATAGCCAGTACTCTGCATGGTGGTGTCTATGTTGTTGCGGTCGGCAAAATAACAGACAAGCCTGAAAACAGCAGAGATGGTGTTCCCTCTAAGTTGGAAGGTGCTAGTTGTGTGAAATGCAGTCATAATTCTGCAAGGGAATTTCAGCCCTTTGGTGTCAGTCAAAGTAGAAATTTTCAAGAAAGTCGAAAGAATCAAAATGGTGGATACTTTGGTTTAGAGCTCAGCACCAACTCTGGAAATCAAACTGAAAATGGGCTACTGACTCTTCCTTGTGGTAGCCATAGCAACCAACACTATTCGGACCATAACACCACACAGATGCATTTAGCTGGTACAACTACCAGAAAAAATTTGTTTGGGAAAACCACCTACGAAAGTAACTCAACGGCAAATGGACTAATACTGTCTGCCTCAACATTACTACCGGTCGGTGACCTTCACCAAACTGTCTCCGACAACAGCATTATAGGGCTTTCACAAAACCAAACAGTGTGTCTTTCTTCCTCGAGTGTTTCTAACCCTTCCCCAGACCTCAATGTTATTCCATGTTTGTACCCGCCTTTGCATTCCTCAACATACTCTTATCTTCCATCACCCTTGTCTCCAAGTCCTCTGCTTTCCTCCAGGTTGTCCCCACCTTTTCTGATCCCAGATGTGTTCCGCAGTGGAAAGGAGTCCAGCCCTACCCCCAGCAGCACCAACCAGAGTCCCAGTCCTGGAAGTCTATGCAGGAGTAGCTCCTTTTTTTCATGCAACTCTCATGTTAGCAACATAGGGGAGAGTATATTTCAAAATTCGCTCTGTAATGGTGGACTCCCTTCTTCTGATTTAACAAACAGCATTCTACATCACGCAGCCACCAGCAATGGGTTGACAGGTCGCAATAGCTTAGACCTGAATCACAAACATTTGTCTGGGGGTAATGGTGCACCTTCTATCTCTGTCACATTTAATTCAGACGTAACAAAAATCACATCTGAGCTCAGCGCTGTAGCTGACTCGGCAGACATTAAACTAATTCATGCTTCCTATGCTTCCCTTGACGATTCCTCATCAAGCAGTGATGATGATGACATCAGTTCCAGTTTAGACTGGGTGCAAAATAATGATGGTGGTGATTGCCAATATAAACGGCACACGTTGAAAAAAGATGCGCCAGTGGGTACTAATCACTGTGTGATTAGGAACGGTCACGGTTTGAAGAATACATTGTCATCCGCCTCTTCTCCTCCACTTACGGCTTACAGCAACAAAGGCCCTTCCAGTTCTCTGAAACAGAGGATAAAATGCTGCAGGTACAGGAAAAAAAGCAAAATATAGAACTCATTATGATGATCTTTGAACTTTTGGTAAATGCTGTCTATAGTTAAGTTCAAGGCACAATAGAAACCTCAGAAAATCTCCAAAATCTATTTTTTAATATATTGAGATGTCATTTTTATTAATCACTGTTTTCAATGTTTTATGGGCTATATTTTTGTCTAACTATTGCCTTTACTACCAGGGTGGTCTTCAGTTAGATTTGCATTCAACTTTTTCTCTTTATGTACGTACACAAATAACACTCTGTGATATCCTGCACTTGTAGACATCATGAACAAAATTGCAGTTTACATTAATTAATGTAGAATACTGATCAGACAATTGAATTGACAACTATTTTGACTTAGAACCAGCTATTAGTGTTTCATAGCTTTTAATGTACACATCAGGATGTATAAATCAATGTTTCTCAAATTGTAGCAGCAGTGAGTGTTAATTAAAAAAACCTATTGATTGACTTCTCATTGAGATAAACGTGAAGTCCTTGTTACGTTAGAGTCTTAATTGCATTAAACTGCAGACATATTGTTTCTCAGATTCTAGAAAAAAAACTATACTTCATTCGATAAATGATATAAAGTTTGAGTAATCTACCAGGAGTCAGGGTTTTATGTCCAGAGTCTCTGACTCCACAGCCCTAGTGTCTTGCACTTGAACAGTGACCTGCATTATTAAAAAATATATATATTTTTTTTTTGCACCTTTATTTTCCAATGTTTACAGCACGCCTATGTACACATACATTTCTACACTACACTGTATTTTTTATACTTCTGAAACACGGTTGTGGATTTTTGTTGTTCTAATTGTCTAACTTTCATATTGGTGCTGTAATGTAATATTATAAAATTCACAGAATTTACTTCATTTTGAAATGTAATTTATAAATGGTCAAGTGGAGCTTGAAAACATAGTGAAATTTATTCATAATGGAATAAAATTTAGTAGCTGATAAATATTAGTTAGTTAAACAAAATTACTTGGTGAAACGTTAATCAATGTTGAAGTGAAAAGCAGAATTGACATTTGTACTTAGCATTGTGTAAATCTGAGCTATGGTGTCACAAGCACATTGAGCTGAGAGGATTTAATTACAATCATTTGATTTGAGCAAATGAAATGTTTATATCCTGGGGAAACAAAAACTGTAAAAGTAAAAGGTTGAAGGTAAGGAGAATCAATGTTTCTATCCTGGGGAAACAAAAACCGTTGAGTCTCAAGTAAGGAGAATCCAGTCAAGCTTTATTGGAGAATGTTGATTTCTGTATCTGTAATGTGCATTAATTTAGTGAAACTTGTTCAGGATAAAATGTAATTTTTATATCTAAAATAAAATGAAGAACTAAAATTAGTTAAAAGAAAACAACCAATTAAAAGCCATAAACCTAACAACTCCTTCACCTCTAGTATTGGGCATTCACCTCTAGTATTGGGCATTAAGAGTGAGTTTTCAAAATAACCATGGCACTATCACCATATTTTGCATTTCTTACCTTTTTGCTGTTAATGTTGACCCCCCCCCCCCCCCCCCCCCCCTTTTTCTTATAAGAAAATAATATAAATTTTTTTTTTTATGTTGTCCCCCCCCCCCCCCCCCTGGCCTCTTTGAAAGAATGTACAGTAATTAAAGTTTTTTTTGTGTCAAAACAGAACTTTCCAAAATCAAGCTAAACCAGTTTTAATTGTTCAGAGCTTACAAAATAAGATACTTTTGGAGCATTAACAAAATTACCCATTAGGGATTAGGTGGGCTATGTCTCAGAAGTCTTACTCTGTAATAATACCATACAAAATGTGTTAAATGTGATTCAAATTTCGTCACTCTTATAATTTTGAATTCTTAATTCAATCATCAAGTTTTATTTTAAGGTTCTGGTTAAATCAAGTATGCATTCCAATTGGTCATAAAATATTTATGTTAAAAGGCAAAGTATTATTTTCATAATCTTTATAAGATGTTATTACTTTACTTGAGTCACTTCTATTAGGAGCTTAAAATGTTTTTAGGCCTACTTGATAGAAATGTGACTCTGTTAAAGCAATTCCAAATAATTAAAATCTATTATTACTTAGGGTCATTTATTGTTCAATATTTAGTTTCTCGTCTGCGGAAAGTATTTCTTGGGAAACTAAAGATGGGGTTCAAAAAATAATTGTAAGCCTACACCTGATAAGGGGGTAAGTCACTTGCTACCTAAACAACATGTAGGCCTGCATCTTATCTACAAAGTGATCATAAACAGATGTGTGAAGTCAGGAAATAATGGTTGTAAATTTGTAAAACAAATTTTAAAATAATTTTTCTATCAAGCTTAATTTTATGAAATTGTTTTTCTTTTACATTTTGCAATGGCTAGAATTTTTTATTTAGGTATAATTAAGATTAATATAATATTTACCTACATAGCACGCGTTTCTTCAAATTATTTTGTTAAATTTAAAAAAAAAATATTGATAGAAATCAATCAACCTTTAATGGTTTACTAAATATCCTTTGAAATAATTTCATAATCATAGTAACATAGGAGTAATGAGTAACAAAATTGACTCCACAGGTTTCATTTTGACTTTTACGATTCATCTTGTTTATTTCCGAGCTATTTTTTTATTTTTTTTGGTTATTACAACATTGAAAAACTAAAATTGCAACTACAGTGGAAATACTTTGTCTTGTTGTAATTGGGATAGGCAAAATAATAAAAATTCATTTTGAAAGAATTTATTGACACAAAAACCTAATCCTTGGGATTTTGTAAATAATGGAGTTATAAAAGAAATTATGTTATGCACCCTGGCTTGAATTTAATGTGGTTATTCACTGTAGTAAATTGGTCCCTATTATTTATAATTAAATGGCATTTCCAACATGGATTTAAATTTGATTTAGGCAAGCAGCATTTTAGCTTCTAATTGTATTAAAAGATTTTGGCCAGGTTGATAGACCTTTGAGACATTGAGTTGTAAAAAGTGAACATTGGAAGGCGCTACCGTTTAAAAAATGTATTCTTCTGAAATGTCAAAGTTTTATACAAAATAATAATTGTAATGTGTAAGAAGTCATGTATTTTAAATTTACAATTTTTTTGTCAATGAACCTGAATTGTCTCGTTAAACTTTAATTCCACTGTAGGAGGAAGTGGAGCCTTTTTACCCTCGACATTTTTTGTAATCACTATAACAGAAGTATATAGTAGTATTTTCCCTCTCTTGTGAGCCCTGATTGGGAAAACAAAGATGAAATCTCTTTATTATTATTTGTTACTATTTGTATTAAAGTTTGCTAATGAATGGTTTGCTAACTTCCTGTTCGAATATTGTATAACAGTAATAGAGAAATATGGGGTATATTTATCACTAGTTGGTTATTAACTTTAAAAAAACAAAAAAACCTCTCGCCCTGGAATCAATTCCATTTAAACATTGATAGGAAAATATTAGGTTATATGATTAATTAATTAATAAATGGACTCTGAAATATTGAACTGTCTCTTTAGAAGCCTTACATCTGACAGTTGTACTGTGGATGTTGGTTCGCGTTGTACTGTGGATGTGCAACTGTTGGTTCATGTTGTACTATGGATGTGCAACTGTTGGTTCATGTTGTACTGTGGATGTGCAACTGTTGGTTCATGTTGTACTGTGGATGTGCAACTGTTGGTTCATGTTGTACTGTGGATGTGCAACTGTTGGTTCATGTTGTACTGTGGATGTGCAACTGTTGGTTCGTAGGATTTTAAATTTGATTTATAATTGTGATATTAATTAAGCTTTTCATTAAATTTGAAACCGTTTGAAGAAAATTTCACTTAATAAAATAGTAAAAGGAAAATGGAACCCTTTTTTTTCCCTTAATGTTTGCATTTTGAGGGAGTGTTTATTGTGATGTGAGTCAAAGTAAAAAGCCTCTTTCTTGTGGTGGCTCCTTTTTGCACATAAGAAATTTTTTTGAGTGAAAGACTAATCTGCCTTGAGCACTTTTATATTATGCAAAATGAAAAATAAATTGACTTTTTTCTACAGTAAATATGTTTCCACATTTATTGTGCAATTAAAAAAAAATTACAGATTGTCTTGAGGTGAAATAAATGTGTTGCGTTTGATGTGAGCAGTGACTCATAACAATTGATTATGATGGTGTCACGATTCTATGAAAGAAAAATTATTCCTTAGCTTTGGTGTAGTGAAACGAACCAAAGTGATGACACTGGAAGTGCTTGAGCTGACAAAGGTGAATTAATAAAAAAATGTTTGCATACAATTACCATTCGTTTTTAAAAACCTGTAACGAATGTGGGAATTAATCCCCCACCATTGAAGGAAAGTATGTTGGAAAAAGTTGAAGGGTTAGAGAGTAGAATAAGTAATTGGTGAGAAAATTTAAACGACTATTGAATTGCACAGCTATATATTTCTATATTATTTAATGAAAAAATGTTCAATATAAAACTATTTCGTTACATGATATGAATAACAACAAAGAAAGTACTATACAAAAATATATTATAAATTGTATTTTATTACAGAGGAACACAAAAATTGAACTCTATAAATAGAATAAATTAATCCTTGTGTTGATTTTGGCAGACTTCATTCTGTGGCACCATATTGTTGCCTATATTGAATGAGGCAGTGACAAAGTAAATAAGACTCCTTTAAAAAATGTTTTCTCCATACACATTTATTTAATAATATAAATGCTGAGTTGTAAGTTGAACAGTTAACTAATAGATGAGGAAAATACAATGAGAACAAATTAAGGATTTTAGTAATAAAACTTCAAGATATTGAAAATATTGCATTTTAAAAATATTTTAAAAATTTGCATTTTTAAAGTAATCTTTTTTTTCTATTTATGTACTGTAATAAAATACTCTGTCATATATACAAGTTAAAATTACATTTCAGATAATGTTGAATTTTAAAAAAAAAAAAAATTTTGTTTAAAAAGTAAACTGATCCAAACAAGCAAAGATTGAATAAATTATTAAGCTAAACATTTTTCATTATGTCCAAAAATTAATTGACTGACTACATCAAACTATATAATATTTTTCAAATGACTTTCTAGTAAAACAAGATATTTCTTTTAGACAGTCTATAATAAATCTTTCTTTGGAATAGAAAATAGTAACCTATGCAATGCAAAAAAAAAAAAAAATCATAAAAATTAGAGAAAATAATGTACCAATATTTTCATCTTGAGCAAAATGACTGTACATGAAGCAGACATGTAAAGCCCTTGTCAAAATAATTTCATTTTTGCTTTTGGTAAACTTTAATCTTTATAAATGGAAACTAATCCATATTATTTCTTACACAGATTCAGTAGAATTAGGCTTGTCGCTGTATATTTCTTCTACATAAATGGTCCCTAAATCTTAATTTAATACCAAGTGATAAGAGATATTTTGCTGAAAAGAAACTAACGTACATCCTAGAATTAGTTAATTTTGCTCAGTGTTGAACTTAGTTAGGAACTAATGAAAATAAAAGGCATGAACTGCATTTATTATCCAGATAACTACAAATTATTTATCTCAATTTGAGACGTGTTTGGATATAATTTCTTAAGCCTTTTAAAAATGAATCTTAACTGATGTTGACATTCAGCTGTCGTTTACGAGCAAGTGTCATTCTGGAAAAAAAAATGTACACCAAATAACCTGATGCATTGCAATGCTAAAAAAAAAAAACAAAAAAACATTTGAAGTAAAGGAATAAAAGGTTGAAAATTCAATTACTCTTTAAACTAGTAAAAAATGATTTTTTAAGAAGAAATACTGATTTTGACATTCATCTGTCGTTTACGAGCAAGTGTCATTCTGGAAAAAAAAATGTACACCAAAAAACCTGATGCAATGCAATGCTAAAAAAAAAAAACAAAAAAACATTTGAAGTAAAGGAATAAAAGGTTGAAATTTCCATTACTCTTTAAACTAGTAAAAAATGATTTTTTAAGCAGAAACTTCTTATTAGGGGCCGTCCATTAATTATGTCAACAAAATAGGGGGGGAATGGGTTTGGAAATGTTTGACAGTTTTTGACAAGGGAGGGGGGTTTAGATAAGTGACGTCAACAATCATGTTTTCTCTATTAAATTAAAATTATGGTTATTAGTTTATTACATTATTTTTAAAAATTTAATGAGTGTAAATATTCACATAATTTTTAGGTGTCATGTGCAATCAAGATGAATGATATTTTTAGAGTAGGAATACGCTATTTTGAGAATTAGAGGAAAGTAAAGTAAGTATCAATAATAACATCGCTGCTCGAACGTATATGCAAAACCTGTAACATCTATTTTGCATCACAAGTCATGTTGAAAAAGCATGTTCAACAGCACTGACAATGCCATCTTCAGCATAAGAAATTAACCCTTGCTACTCAACAACAAAGGATTCGACCAATGCGAGTAGCTGCCAGGAGACAGAGAGAGTTTATGGCAATTATTGTTTACACCCACAATGCTCCTAGGTGAGGGGGGGTGTCACTGAAATTTTGACATAATTAAATAGGGGGGGGGGGGGGGGGTCACTGAAAGTTTGACGGTTGTTGACAAAGGGGGAAAGGGGGTCAAAAGTTGCATACAAATTGTTGAAGTAATTAATGAACGACCCCTTACCCAATTTATCCAAGCTTCAAAGTGTATTATCATGTTGTGTTAACGGCTAAAAACATCACTCACGATTCACAAAAATCTCCCACAAAACCTGACGGGCATTGACACTTGTTAGGCCTAAGGCATCTGCCGCCATTTTGGCATGGTTGGGAACATATTGCTGCAAATAGATTATAAGGAAGATTTCAAATCAAAATGAATGTTCCATTAAATTTTGGGATTCATCTTTTAAAAAATGCCGCATTGTTTTTAGATTAGTTAAACGAAAAGGAGTTTTATTGTCACATTTATCAAGCATTGTATTCAAGATATTCACAAGATATTCACAAAGACAACGTTTATTAAGATGGTTGCACCCTAAGTCTAAAAATATTCAAATGAAACAAAGTTAGTGTCTAAAAAGTAGGTCAAGTGCAGGAATCAGTAGGAAACACCTTGATAGGATCAACTGATTACAGGTTTCTTCATTCATATTTATTTTTGATGACTAGTGGCAGTTGAACTGTTGAGCAATTGTACAGAACAGCACTAGCAGTTTTGGTAGCAAAGGACAAGTTCAAATGGGTAACACAAAAAATCTAGTGATTGGCTGGGGGGAGGTTTGATGAGCTTGATATAAGCGTGAGTACAAGGATTGAAGAGACCAACTAGGGGGAGCTTTGATGAGCTTGATGTAAGTGTGAGTACAAGAATTGTAGAGACCAACTAAGGGGTGCTTTGATAAGCTTGATGTAAGTGTGAATACAAGGATTGAAGAGACCAACTAAGGGGTGCTTTGATGAGCTTGATGTAAGTGTGTGTACAAGGATTCTAAAGTCCAACTAGGGGATGCTTTGATGAGCTTGATGTAAGTGTGAGTACAAGGACTGTAGAGACCAACTAGGGGGTGCTTTGATGAGCTTGAAGTATGTGTGTGTACAAGGTTTGAAGAGACCAAGTGAGCATACTGTGACATTTTATATTTCAAGTTACAAGGAAGGCAATTTTTGTTTGCAATACATTATTTTCACCAAAAAAAACAAAAACATTGCTAGGACAGTCATCAAATTATTTTCTTTTTTATAATATTTAAAATTTAATAGCAGTTATTCTTGCTTGTTTTGCAAATGTGTCAACATTTTTTTTTACCTTTCTGGCAACGTGTGCCCTCATAACCAAGTGGGCACCGGCATTTGTATGGTGCAACACAATGACCACCGTGTAAACATGGCAAGATACAATTGGCTGTAAGAGGAGAATAGATAACTTCAAACCGGTGCAATTATTCATTGGAACATTTTATCTTGATTTCAACAAGTGCTTAGTTTAAAGAAGAGAAATACCATTTTAAAAATATCCTATTTTAAATATAAAGACTATAAGGTACACAATTTTAAATTTAAAGATATTTTAAACAGAATGAAGGTACCTGGAAATAGAATCATTTTCAACTATTGTTGATGAGTATATAAAGATATTTCAGCACTTTTTTTAATGTTATATTTAGTACCACTATATCTAACACAAGGAAAACTAACACATCTGCTCAGCTTTGTATCTAGATTTTTAATGACTAGTTACAAGCATAACTAATTTTCTAACAACATGGCTTCTGATTTCTGAATACAAGAAACACAGGTGTCCCACGTATTGATAATAAAGGCAAGTAATTGTAACAATAAAATGCAACGATAATACAACATGAGCCAGGTGTATTTTGCTACAACTAGGTTGTGAGGAGGTCAGAGTGTCTACAACTAACCAATTTGGCAGCTAGTTCCTCCCCATCCTGTCATACACTTGCAGCGGTTAAATCCCAGGCAGTGTCCTCCATTTAGACACTCTTGCTTGCAATGAGCTGTTGAAATATGTGGATATAATTAACAGGAACACAGTGAAAGGAAACATTTTGTTTGATATATATAGCATTCTATTGTTCAATGAAGTCTAGTGTTTGATATATATAGCATTCTGTTGTACAATGAAGTCTAGTGTTTTACATATGTAGCATTGTGTTCTGTCATCCAAAGATATCTGCATTTAAATGTAATTTCTAAACCAGCAGGACATAATAACTATATATGATGTCAATAAAAAGTTGGTGAAAATGCATTACCGATACACAAAGGTTCTGCATCCCATCGGCCGGTTTCCAAACACGTGAGCACGGGAGGAGTTGGTACAGAGTTAAAGCCATGGCGACACATGAACACAACCTTATCTCCATAGAAGTAGCTCCTGCCTAACAACATCACCTTCTGTGTATCAGCCACAACTGGTTTATCACAGAATACTCCTACAAAAAGCAAACAATTTTTTTTTTAATCAATAGTCACAATTAAATAATTAATTTACCATCTACTATTTTTTTCTGAAAAAAAACAAGAAAAAACCCCAAAAAACTAGATGGTAAATTAATTACCCGTATTTAATTATGTATTGATTTGATAAAAAAAAATTGTTTGCTTTTTGTAGGAGTATTCTACAAAAAATAAAAAGCAAACAATTTTTAAAAAAAAATCAATTGTCACGATTAAATAATTAATTATTAATTTACCAGCTACAAAATTTTCTTAAGAATATGAAAAGTTCTAATTAGAGCTTAATTGGCTATCAGTTTTCTTACTCTGACATTGGCCTTGAGGCAAAGTCCAGTTCCCATCTCTTTGACACACTGATGTCATGTTACCAACAGCCACATAGCCAGGTAGACACTGGATGATTATGTGGTTGCCGGTCAGCTTACCAGGTGGTGGAGGGTGAATATTGTCCATTATCAGGGTTTCAGAACAAAGCTCTAAAAGGGAAAAAAACGGGTAACTTAAAAAAAAACAAGTTCGGAAACAAAGGAAGTAAATTCAATCATTTTGCATGTTTACTAGCTAAATCTCAAATGATAATTTACTGTATATCTCATTCTCTATATGGCCAAATGAGAGGAAATGATAAACCTAAGCCGATATTGCTCATTTATAACTTAGGAACCATTTTTTATAGTAAATTATGAGTTATATATCTTTAATTCGACAGGATGAAAATTTATTGAATCTAATTATGCTTAGCTAAAAAAAAAAATGAAATTTAGTGGAAAAAATTTAAATTAAAAAAAATATAGATTTGGGTATTAGGACTCAGAAATGAAACTGACAGTGATATTTGGAGGCATTTATCAAATTCTACACAATCCTTATGATACACTCACACATTAATGATTAAGCTTATACCTGACCTCAGTGAGTAGAAGATGCCTTAAAAGAAAAAAAATTAATAACATAATGTGGAACAAAGTTTGAAACAAATTTAAGCTTAGCTGAGTACACTTTCAAATACCAATAATGCTTTGACACTGCGGTGGGCTGGCGTCCCATTCTCCAGTCTCAGCACAACGCATGGAGGCTGGGCCAACCAAAGAGTACTCTCCAAGACACTTGAATGTGATGACAGATCCTACAATGTAAGGGCCATTTTCAGGGCCACTGATGATCTCTCCATTCTCAGGGACAGCCACAAGGCTACCGCAGTGGCGGACTGGGAGGATGAGGTAAAAATTATGTCATAAAAGTGTGCCCTGATAATAATGGGGGACAAGAATGTTATCAAGAAATATTTGTTTTCTAATATTTTCTTGAAGAATGTTTAAAAACTTTCATAGGAAATTAGTTGCTTTCCCTATTGTATTTTTAATAGAGTGCATTTCAAAAAAATAATAAACATCTGTGATAGTCAAAGAACAACCTGCCTTAATTCAGCTAGAAAATGAATTTAGGCCAACAAAATGGCAATAAATTGATAAATATGAATTTAGTTTGATTTTATGTTGAAGCATTAGTTGAAAGGGTGTGGAAGATATGTCAAATTATTTCGGAATAAATATGTTTCTAACTGTTCATTTCAAGTAGTAATGTGAAAGAAAACCTAAATCTCTAACCTTTCACTTCAGGTAGTATTGTGAGAGAAAACCTATATCTCTAAGCATTCACTTCAGGTATTATTGTGAGAGAAAATCTATATCTCTAAGCATTCACTTCAGGTAGTATTGTGAGAGAAAATCTATATCTCTAAGCATTCACTTCAGGTAGTATTGTGAGAGAAAATCTTTATCTCTAAGCATTCACTTCAGGTAGTATTGTGAGAGAAAACCTATTAAAACATACTTCTAAAAAAAATCAATGATTCTCAATGGAAACAGGTGTGTGTCTGATGAGAAAGAAATATTCAAGGTAATATGAGATACATAATTCAAAATATCTGTACCCACCTGTACATTGAAACACAACAGTTGACCATTGCCCATCAAAGTTACAGTAGCTTGTTGATGAACCTGTCAGATCGTGGCCTGGAATACATGTGTAGTTAACTGACTTTCCAAACGTGAACTCTGTTCCTTCAAATGTTGACAGAGGAAACTCACGCGGCTGACTGCAAGAGATTGGTACACACTGTGGTGGGTCATCGGTCAACCACTGACCAACATGACTGCACATTATCTTATTGCTCCCTGCTATTGTGTAGCCTACATTGCATGTGTAAATAGCCTCTGAGGTGTAAGTGTTACCCGTGGTAACAAATGTGCTGAAAGGAATTGTGGGCGGTGGGTCGTAGCACACAACGATCTCACAAGACGGGATCTTGCCGTGCCAGTCCCCATCATCACCACAGGTGATTGTTATTTCAATGTCTTTATCGTTGATCATTTGGTAACCCTTCAAGCAGGAGAACGTCACTCTGGATGTCACACTCCGACCTGTGTCTGCAGTCACGATGGAGTTAGCAATAACTGGCGGTGCTGCACATTTGATGCGTTTGCAGACAGGCAGTTCTGAGGACCACATTCCATCGGCAAGACATTCTATTGACGTTACGCCATCATGAATGAACCCAGTGCTGCAGACGTACTCCACTGTTGCACCAACACGCATGCTGCTGCTGAGGATATACCCATTCATGATGTCAGGAGGAGATGGGCACACAATAAGCTGACATGTCGGAACATTTCCCTGCCAGCTGCCATCTTCTCCACAAAGCAGTGCCCCCGTGCCCAACATGACATATCCAGCGAGGCACTGATATACTGCAGTTAGTCCTACTTTAAGTTCAGTATACGTAACCTCACCATGTGCTATCACAGTGGGCTCTGGGCAGGTGACTGGCTCACATTTGGCTTCTTCTGAGGAAAACCAGCTTCCACTTTCCATGCAAACTACGGTGCTTTGCCCGTTTAACTTAAAACCATTGGAACAGCTGTAGGTTGCCAGAGATAAGTATGTTGTAGAACTGAAAATAACCTCACCATTGTCTAAGCCCGATGGTGTCCTGCAATCAACAACCTCACAGGAAGGGGCGGAGCTGTTCCAGGCACCTTGCTCATTGCAGTAGATTTGATGTTGTCCTACCAGGGTGTATCCCACATGACAGCTGTACGCTGCTGATGCTCCAAAAGTTGTACCGGACACAACCACATCGCCGTGATTAATTTTGATGGGGTTCGAGCAGTCTAAGGGCGAGCAAGGGGGCGACTCGTCTGACCACTGACCCGTTTCTGTACAAGAGAGAGTGGTCCTCCCCTCAAGTCTGAATCCTGGGTCACACGTGAAGAGAGCCACAGATTGGTAGGTCAAGGTCGTGTACACAACACTACCGTTGGGCTTTGGAACAGGTTCAGTGCAGTTCACTATGACACAGTGAGGCTCAATGCCCTGCCATTCTCCAGTCTCACCACAGATGAGCGTACTGTGAGGCCCTAAGGTGTATCCTGGGTGGCAAGAGTAGATGGCCAGGTTTTGGAATGTGGAACTGGTGTAGTTGGCCCAGCCGTGCTCAATAGACGATGGGGTCTTACAGTCAACGGGAACACACGTTGGCACTGAACTGGACCAAAGACCAGACTCCAAACACTCAATGTTGTCTTTGCCACCTAAGTAAAATCCGGGCAGGCAGGAGTAGGTCACCCTTGATTGAAAAGTTGTTTCGTTGAAATCTATATCTCCATTCTCAATACTGGGTGGGTCTTGACAATCCACTGGCAGACAAGCATGGTCATCGCTGGACCACTTACCCGTTTCCAAACATATTATGACATCGGGGCCAGTTTTTACATATCCACTGACACAATCATAACGTACAACTGATTGGTATTTGGTACCATTACCAGGTGAGTACTGACCTTTCAGAAGCTGCGGGTAGTCTGAACAATCGACAGGTGCACAAGAAATGAGCTCACCTTCCCAAACGCCAAATGCATTACAGGTTAAAACGTTATCAGGTAAAGGACTGGTGTAGCCCGCATTGCAATGGTAGACGGCTAAGGAAAGATAGTCTGTTCTGTTGTTGTCTAGAAAGTAGTAAGAATCTAGGACTTGTGATGGCCATCCACAGTTGACCACTTCACAGACAGGAATCTCCCCTTCCCACAATGCCATCTCGCCACAGACAAGCTCAGTGGCGTTACTGGTCGCCAGCTTGTATCCAGTATGGCAGGCATACTCAACTTTGTCTAGATACAGAGTGCCTGCCGACAAGAGGTTAGCATTGGGAACATCAGGTGGCGTTGAGCAATCTAGTGGTGAACATTTCGGATACTCTTGCCTCCAGGCCCCATCTTCATCGCAGAACAAAGAACTGCCCCCCATCATCAAATAACCCGTGGCACACATGTAGACTGCCACACCCCCGAGGGTAGTGTCATCAACAGCAAAACTGCTGTGGTCGATGTCAGGGGGCTGGCCACAATCTCTAGGGTCACATCTTAAATTAGGGTCGTACCTCCAGGTTCGATCAGCACTGCAGACAAGAGTTCCATTCCCATTTAGAACGTATCCTGAGTTACAGAGCACTTCAGCAAAACTTCTGTACGTTGTGGTGGCAACTGTCACAGTGGAAGCAGGAAATACAGGCGGCGGGCCACAATCAACCTCCATGCAGGTGGGAAGAGTCCCCAACCACTGATTAGCCAGGCCGCAGACAATGACAGTGTTACCCACAGCTTCATATCCAGGTCTGCATTTGTAGGAGATTGCATCTCCCTGCTTAAAGCTGTCTCCAACTATGATGGCGTTGACTACACTTGGAGGTGAACCGCAAGCCAGAAGTACACACTGAGGCAGAGACTCTATCCAGTTTTTATCCGCCCCACAGGTTAGTTCGGACTCTCCTATAAGATCATAGCCTGAATGACACGTGATGGTGACCACACTTCCGAATGTAAGGGAGGCATTAGACACTACAGCATTCTGAATTTCTGGTTTTGGACACTGCACTGCCAAGCATGTTGTATTGGTATTGCTCCATGCACTATCAACCTGGCACTGAGAGGTCAGCTCACCCACAATTTCGTATCCTTCATTACAGAAGAAAGTTGCCACATCTTTGTATATGTATGTAGAGTTTCTTTGATCAGCAGGGACAATATCTGAGCCATCACCGGGGTTGATGTTGGCATATCCATTGACTACAGTGAGGGTGGGGCATGACATTACTTTACAATATGGTTTTTGAGCACTCCAACTCCCTGTGTGGTCACATTGTAGAGAAGAGCTACCAACAAGTTCAAATCCATGATTGCATGTAAAATTCAGAACTGATAGATAGATATAAGCACTTCCTAACACAGTTCCATAATCTATATTTGTGATGGATCTACAAGATACAGGATGACAGCTTATAGGATTGCCTGACCAGTTGCCGGTCTCCTGGCATATCTTTTCAGCTGTTCCATTCATAGTGTAGCCCACATCACACTCATAACCAACAAGAGACTGAACTACATACTTCCCCATGTTCACATCTCTCACAATTCTACCTTGGTTGATTACTGGTGGTGACAAGCACAAGATCTGCTCACAGATAGTTAGTCCTCCTGACCACAGCCCACTGGCGTCACAGACGCTTGAATTGACACCAACAAGACGGTAGCCAAAATTGCAGGTCAAATTCACCTGATCGAGATAGAGATAAGAACTCCCGAGGACTTGACCATTTTCTAGAGAAAAGGGGGTACCACAGGAAATCCTCACACAAGCTGGCTCCTGACCACTCCACTCAAGTGAAGACAAACAGGTTCTCACAGACTCCCCTTGCAGAAAGTATCCTGGGTTGCAGGAGTACGTGATGTTGTCTTCAAACAGATAAGAGCTACCAGAAATGACACCAAATGGGATGGACGTGGGGGCCAAGCAGCTCAGCCTTATACACTCATGTTTGGAATTTTCCCATGAGCCATCGGCCTGGCACTGTCGGAAACTCTCACCAGCCAACTCAAACCCCGGTGAGCAAAAATACTCAACACCACTTCCGAAAATGTATTCCCCGCTTATAACACCATTCTCAAATGGTTCTGTCGGTGGTCCACAGCTGATGGGATTACATTGTGGTTCAGAATGGCTCCAGCTTCTATTTGCCTGGCAAACTCTTGTGGAGTCCCCTTCTAGTTGGTATCCTAGGTAACACTTGTACACAATGGAATCTCCAAAGGTAAAGTTATCACCTTCTATGAAGCCATTCTCAATCTGCGATGGGGTAGGGCAAATAACTGGAACACAAGCTGGTGCAAGCCCACTCCATGCCCCACCGAGTAAACAGGTGAGCCTGGAGTTGCCCGCAATTTCATATCCAATCTGACATTCATAGCCAACTGTTAAGCTGTCTTCAAAGGTGAACTGACCAAACTCAATACTTTCAGGGGTGGGGCAAGGGATCCTGACACATGCCGGGGGAGTTGAATCGAACTGGCCAATGGCCAGGCAGGTCATTAAATTCTGTCCACTTAATTCATATCCATAATCACAAATGTAGGAAATCTGGTCCTGGTAGTAATACTCCACTTTGGGACTGACCAGCCGACCGTTCGGGACTGGAGACTGTGGAGCTTGGCATGTGACAATCTGACAGCTTGGCATGGCTGCACTCCAGGCCCCGGCACTCAGGCACTCAACCTGCTGGACGCCGACCAGGTTGTAGCCAGTGTTGCAGCTGAAAGTAGCCGAACTGCCATAGTCGTTAGATGTGGATGCGACAGTTCCGAATCTGAGCTCGCCAAGCTGAGGGCACTGAACTAGGAGACAACTTGGGTACGCATGGCTCCATGATCCATCAGCTGTGCAGATGATATGTGAGACTCCAGCAAGATTGTAACCTTCCCTGCATGAGATGGAGACATTGGTTTCATAGGTGAGTGAAGAACCATTGAATACTGCGTTCGGGATGTCAATAGTTGGACAGGATAGAATAGTGCAGGTCAAGTCAAGGTATGACCATGTTCTGTTTGATAAGCAACTTGTTAGATCTTGACCAGAAGCTGAATATCCCTCTACACAATCATAGACCACCTGAGACTCATAGAGGTCATCATCCTGCTGCAGAATGAAAGCATTTTCGATGGTAGGTGGAGATCCACATGAGATTTTCCGACACTCAGGGTCTGTGCCTGACCATGTTGTGTTTGCTTGGCACACACGCCCCACAGAACCAAACAGCTCGTAACCCTCTAAGCACTCATATGTTATTAAAGACTGGTAAGTTCCGGATTCCCCTAGATATATACCATTTTCAGGCCATGATGGCTCTGGACAGTTGACCGGGGAGCAAACTGGTGGCTCATTAGACCAATTCCCATTTTGTTGGCAAACTCGGGTGAAATCTCCAAAAAGGTTGTAGCCTTCCTCACATGTATAAAATAACTCAGCCCCTAATCCGGTGGTGTTTGACTCTAAAATTGCATGCTCGATTGGGGCCGGCATTGGGCAAAACACAACAGTGCAATTAGGCACATTTCCTGACCATTCTCCGGTTTCTAAACACTTCCTTTCTTTATTTCCAACAACTTGGTATCCTTTATTGCAACTATACTCTGCGATGCCGTCATAGAAGCTGGACAAAATTGTGACCGTGCCAATGGGGAAGTCGAGTTCTGGACAAGTGATTCTATCACAGTATGGCAGATCTGAGCCCCAACGTCCACTGGCCAAGCATATCAAGACATTTGCCCCTACAAGTTTGAACCCTTTGTTGCAGAGAAATGAAACAGTTGAGTTGAAGCTGTAATCATCCCCTTCAATGTGACCATTGCTCACTAGGCCAGGGTGACCGCAAGACACAATTTCACAAGACGGTTTCTGACTCTCCCAGAGACCACTTGCCTGGCATCGTCTTTTCTCATCTCCCCTAAGCCTGTACCCGGTCTTGCAGGTGTATGATACAAACTCTTCAAAGGTGTTGGCGGAGTAGGTGATGTTCCCATCTTCCAGGACATCCTGAGACAAATCAGGGCACGAAACAATCTGACAAATTGGCGCTGCGGGTCGCCAGATCTCATCGGAACCACAGGTCCTGACAGCGGCACCAAGCAGAGTGTATCCTCTGTGACATTCGTACTTGATGGCCGTTTCATTTAAAACCTCCGACTCGCTGTGCGACACACGGTCTGGAGCCTTGCAGTTGATTTTCAGACACTTGGGTTCATCTCCGCTCCACTCGCCCGTAGCCGTGCAAGTCCTTCGGCTGGCGCCTTCGAGACGATAGCTTCCCCTGCAGCTGAAATCAACGACGGTACCGTACGTACGCTGGAAGGAGGATATAGTTCCGTGGCTCAGTTTTGGTGCCGGACATTCAACAGTTTCACAAATTGGTATGGGGGCATCCCAGTTGCCACTGGAGAGACATCTTCTAATGGCGGCACCTTGTAATTTAAATCCCACATCGCACTCGTAAGCTATTACAGCTCCGTAAGTAGAATTTGTTCCATTTGTTTTACCATTTGAAATGACCGATGAAACTTTTGTGCATTCAACTGGGGCACATGAGAACACTTTAGAGGACCATTTGCCACCAGCCTCACATTTTATGGACTTGTCCCCTTTGAGTGTGTATCCCTGATTACAAGATAACATGGCAACAGTATTATATATAGTCTTCTGATCAGGCAAGGAGATGGCCCCATTGTCAAGACTGCCCAGTTCTCCACAATCAACCGGCTGACAAATGGGCTCCTGGCCGGTCAACGTGAGATCATCCTGGCATCTCCTGGAGGCATCCCCTTCCAAAATGTATCCTCTATCACAGCTGTACCTGTAAAATGGATAAAAGAGAAAATGAAAGATACAAGGTTTTTAATTAATGGAAACTTGAGTATAAACAAAGAATAAATACCTTTAGAGTAAATACCATTTAGAGTAAATACCATTTAGAGTAAATGCCCTTTAGAGTAAATACCATTTAGAGTGAATACCATTTAGAGTAAATACCATAATTTAGAGCAAATACCATTTAGAGTAAATACCATTTACAGCAAATACCATTGAGAGCAAATACCATTTAGAGCAAATACCATTTAGAGTAAATACCATAATTTAGAGCAAATACCATTTAGAGCAAATACCATTTAGAGCAAATACCATTTAGATTAAATACCATTTAGAGTAAATGCCATTTAGAGTAAATACCATTTAGAGCAAATACCATAATTTAGAGCAAATACCATTTAGAGCAAATACCATTTAGAGAAAATACCATTTAGAGTAAATACCATTTAGAGCAAATACCATTTAGAGCAAATACCATTTAGAGCAAATACCATTTAGAGTAAATACCATTTAGAGTAAATACCATTTAGAGCAAATACCATTTAGAGCAAATACCATTTAGAGTAAATACCATTTAGAGCAAATACCATTTAGAGCAAATACCATTTAGAGTACATACCATAATTTAGAGTAAATACCATTTAGAGCAAATACCATTTAGAGCAAATACCATTTAGAGTAAATACCATTTAGAGTAAATACCATTTAGAGCAAATACCATTTAGAGTACATACCATAATTTATAGTAAATACCATTTAGAGCAAATACCATTTAGAATAAATACCATTTAGAGTAAATACCATTTAGAGTAAATACCATTTAGAGTAAATACCATTTAGAGCAAATACCATTTAGAGTAAATACCATTTAGAGTAAATACCATTTAGAGTAAATACCATTTAGAGTTAATCAAAATAAGATAACATAAGAATATAAAATCCTTTTATTGATTTTTAAAAAAATGAAACTTTTTTTTTATTATAGTGCACATATTTTTTTGTCTTGAGACTTCCCAGGAGGAATTTGATTTCAAAGTGTGTCATTGAGCTGGTGTGCTTCACAATACTACATTGAGCTTGTGTGTCTCACAATACTACATTGAGCTTGTTTGTCTCACAATACTATCAACACTAAACTATGTATATCTCCTAGTTATCTACCTGACAATGGATCCTATGGACAAATCTTTAAAATCTAGTCTGCCATTAGAAACTGTATTGGGGCTGGAGCACTTTGTTGACAGGCATGTGGGAGCCTCATTGCTCCATGTTCCATTAATCTGACAGATTCTAGTGTCAACTCCAGATATTTTGTAGTCTCTACTGCAGGAGTAGCCAGCTACACTAGTGTAAGTCTTGCCGAACACAGTAACAGATCCTAGATTAGAGATGAGAAAACAAGTACGTTAACAGATTCTAGATTTGGGATGAGAAAACAAGAAAAGTAACAGATCCTAGATTAGCCATGAAAAGAGTACAGTAACATATCTTAGATTATGGAGAAGAGTACAGTACCAGATCCTAGATTAGGGATGAGAAAAGTACAGTAACAGATCCTATATTAGGGATAAGAAGGTTACTGTACAAGAAACCAGATTAGGAAAGAGAAGGTTACAGTACCAGATCCTAGATTAGGGATGAGAAGGGTACAGTACCAGATAAGAGATTAGGGGTGAGAAGGGTACAGTAACAGATACTAGATTAGGGAGGAGAAGAGTACAGTACCAGATCCTAGATGACGGATGAGAAGAGTACAGTAACAGATAAGAGATTAAGGATGATAAGACAAGCACAGAGACATATCCTAAATTAGGGGTGAGAAAGGTACAGTAACAGATCCTAAATTAGGGATGAGAAATTAAGTACAGGGACAGATTCCAAGAGTATAAATAAGTAGAGTAAAACATCTTGGGGTGCTGGGTGGCAGAGTGGACTAAACTGAGTCAAGTAGACTAAACTGAGTCAAGTGGACTAAACTGAGTCAAGTGGACTAAACTGAGTCAAGTGGACTAAACTGAGTCAAGTGGACTAAACTGAGTGAAGTGGACTAAACTGAGTCAAGTGGACTCAACTGAGTCAAGTGGACTAAACTGAGTCAAGTGGACTAAACTGAGTCAAGTGGACTAAACTGAGTCAAGTGGACTCGAGTTCAATCCCCAGGCTAGATAAGCATAAAACAACACCAGCACACAGGTGGTAGGGTCTCGTTAACCTTGGTCAGGGGTGGGACTTGTTAACCTTGGTGAGGGGTGGGACTCATTAACCTCGGTGAGGGGTGGGACTTGTTAACCTTGGTGAGGGGTGGGACTTGTTAACCTTGGTGAGGGGTGGGACTTGTTAACCTTGGTGAGGGGTGGGACTCATTAACCTTAGTGAGGGGTGGGACTTGTTAACCTTGGTGTGTGAGGGGTGGGACTCGTTAACCTTGGTGAGGGGTGGACTTGTTAACCTTGGTGAAGGGTGGGACTTGTTAACCTTGGTGAGGGGTGGGACTTGTTAAGCTTGGTGAAGGGTGGGACTAGTTAACCTTGGTGAGGGGTGGGACTCATTAACCCTGGTGAGGGGTGGGACTTTTAACCTTGGTGAGGGGTGGGACTTTTAACCTTGGTGAGGGGTGGGACTTTTAACCTTGGTGAGGGGTGGGACTTTTAACCTTGGTGAGGGGTGGGACTCATTAACCTTCTTGAGGGGTGGGACTCATTAACCTTGGTGTGGGGTGGGACTCGTTAATTTGGTGAGGGGCACATAAATAGAACAGTGAAACACACAAGACACACTGATGGTCTTCTAATGCATCCTGGTCTATTTCCAGTCGTCTGGACTAACTCTCGCCTCTGGTTCAAATCAGAAGGGACAAGAAAGTGAGTCTGACGAATGTGAGCAACTCACCTTCACTAAACAAACTGTAGTTCAAATCAAGGTTACTACTTTTTTTGTTTGCAAATTAGAATCTATATCAGAGGTTACCAATCAAATACTTGATTAAAGCTTGACTAACTAGCTGTCAATATTTTATTTTAAACTTTTAAAACAACAGGTTAATTTTGACCTCCATGCTCTACTTGACTCAGCTCTACAGGCTCCAGTGTATAACTTGGAACTTGGTACAGGGTCCACGAGGCTACTACTCACCATTTTGAGGACTGTTGAGATCTGGGCATTCAATCCGTTCACAGACTGGAGCAGCGGCTGACCACGTGCCATCTTCCTGGCAGGTCATCATGGACGCCCCAGTAAGAATGTAGCCAATACCGCAGGTGTAGTTTACCTGAGATCTATAGACAGGGGATCCCAATCTGATACACAGGTGAGGATAAAAAGAAATATTTTATTGTTTATTGTAAAAAAAAGTGCTTCGCACGAGTTGCATATTTTATCAGAAATATCAGTATTTTAAATAGCATAGTTTACAACTACAAGCTCTATGGACAGTGTCCTTGGCCTGTGGTACACTAGCTCTATGGACAGTGTCCTTGGCCTGTGGTAAACTAGCCTTTTGGATGCTTCAAGGACAGGATTCAAAGGTGGTCATCAAATGGGAAAATTTAGACTATATTCATTAAACTTAATCATATTATTTATGGTTCATGGGGTCATACAAAATGCTTAACATCTTCTGTGCAAAAAGAAAAGTTAGACAACTTGCCCGGTCTACATAGAAGATGTATCACTATGAGCAGAGCTGGATGTTCATAACCAAAAAAGACCCCCAAAACACATGACTATGTTAAGAGATGAACAGACAGATGAAACCATTCAAATAAGAAGCCAGACTTTTGAAAAAGTAAATCTATTCAAATATTTAGGATCCTTAATAAAAGAAAGAAATGAATTACAAACAGAAAATTTAAAACAAGAATATCGGTCTGAAACAGGTCACACTTCAGTAGTCACAAAATACTCAAAATACTCAAAAGTAAACACATTACAAGAGATACAAAGGGAACTCTTTTTATCAAACTGCATTCACAATTCACACCAGTTGCACAAATCAAAGTCAAACTTGGACCCTAACAAAAATGGCAGGAAACCTAAAAAAACACACAAAAAAGTCTCCGGAATTTTATGGTCCAACAAGGGATAAATATTGATGGGGCATAAGAACCAACCAAGAATTGTACAGAATACATCAGGATCTCAAACTTGTAGCAGAAATAAAACAAAAGGGCAGGCTATGCTGGGTGGGACACATAGAAAGAATGTTAGATGACAGAGGAGTGAAGAGGACGCACGACCAAAACCCCAGAGGAAAACGGCTCAAAGGCAGACGTAGGCTTAGGTGGATGGATGATGTGGAAAAAGATCTAGAGCGGCTCGGAATCCAAGCATAGAAAAGAAAAACATCAGTTAGGTCTGAGTGAAAGGAAGTAGTGAGGCAGACCAAAGCCCTACATGGGCTGTAGTGCCACAGGGTTGGATATCATCTACCTTGCAAAAAGAAGGGTTAGCCATCTTGCCCAGTCTGCAGTGACAGCAGTATCTTTCAATATTAATGTATGATCTTACATGTAATCAAATTTAAATACAAATTAGATATAAAAGGAAATGTAAACTCTGATGTCAGAGTAAAAAAATAGAGATGTTATCTGAATCCATTGGACTAACATTGTGTAGGACCCAAAGTCCACATCTTGTGGCATCGGACAAGCCCGTGGCTGACAAGTGGGGGGTTCAGGGGCCCAGAGCCCAGACGCCTCACAGTTGATCTCAGGGGAGCCCCTCAGTTCAAATCCGGCATCACATGTGTATTCCGCTGTACTTGAGAAGGTCACTTCATTGTAGATGACCTTCCCATTTGTTATCGGAGCCAGTGCCCCGCAGGAAACCGGATTGCAGACAGGGTTACCTCCACTCCAAGTTCCATCCTCCTGGCACCTACGATCCTCATCACCATCCAGCGTGTAGCCCTGCTGACACTGGTAGCTTGCCAACGAGTTGTATATGAAACTGCCCACTGCTAAAGTTCCATGGTCTATCTTTGCAGGTACCCCGCAGTCCACGGGTGTGCAAGAGAATGTGGTGGGAGACCAGTCTCTAGTTTGTTCACATTCAATGACGTTCTTTCCTGAGGGCAGGAAGCCCGGGAGGCAGGTGTAGGTCACCTGCGACATGAATGTCCGCTCTGTGCCATTCGCAACAGCATCGTATATGGGAGGGGGGTCGGGACATCTGACCGGTCCACACACTGGAAGGTCTGGTTCCCAGTTACCCGTAGGAAGACAGGCCAGACTGCCTCTTGTGTTTGGAACAGCCGTGTTGAACTCATGGCCATAATCACATTGATAACTGGTTGGAAAATAAACGAATGTTAAGGAGAAATTTATTATTATGATATAAGATCTGAGTTGTGTACATTCAAGTTTCTACTGGGCACGGTAAGCATTTTAAGAGGGTCATAAATCTAAATGTAGTTTTAATATTTTATTTAAAATTGAATTATTTTCTATGTTAAAGTATTACTATTTGGAACCTACAAAATGATGTTCCTTACTTTCATCAGGTGCACAACTTTATTAAATTCAATCCATTTGAGAGAGGAAACGTGAATATCCACAAATTTAAAACTATCCCTTGTTAACATAAAGACATAAATTAAATGTGGTTTCAATTTTCTTAAATTTTTTCATGTAGAATCTTAATTTAGGATCTAATACAAGGGTCATGTTCTGCTACTTATAGATAAGAACTTAAAACTTTAATTCTATTTACATAGATTTTTTTAAAAACATGTCTAGAACGAGTGAGTTACAGAAATGTGGATGACTTCCCGCTAACTAATGACAGACTCAGTTTGAAAGAACTTTCTGTTACTAAACCAATTATTGTGATATGAGAGGCCAGAAACCCTATCAGTTACTAAACCATCTATTGTGATATGAGAGGCCAGAAACCCTATCAGTTACTAAACCATCTATTGTGATATGAGAGGCCAGAAACACTTATAGTTACTAAACTATCTATTGTGATATGAAAGGCCAGAAACTCTTATATATACTAAGCCATCTATTGTGATATGAGAGGCCAGAAACCCTATCAGTTACTAAACCATCTATAGTGCTATGAGAGGCCAGGAACCCACCTGACTGAATCACCAACATTATACTCTGCAATGGAGTTGAAGGGTTCCCCGTTTTCAATTGGTGGTGGAGGGGAGCACTTTACTTCATCACAGGATGGCACACTTTTGTCCCAGGTGCCATCTTTTTGACATTTGACACTGTTATGCTGGGTTTGTAATGCGCTCCCTGCAGATTTAGAATAAAATAAATGTTACTTGCAACAATGTTATTTACACTGTCTTGGTAGATAAGTAGCTCAGGAGAGCCATCATAACTCATTCCCAATTTAAAAATGTTTATGCTTAGTTTGAAGGGTTCGAAGGAGTCATTATATTTAGGTCAATTTTGTAGTGATATTCGATGGTATTGATTGAATTAGATATGATATATAATGGGATTGAATTAGTTAATTTGAAACTGAACACTGATCTGACAAATTTACTGTTATGTATCATTAGTCTTGCAGATTCCAATCATGCGTAGTCACAATGTAGACACCTGGAAGTCATTGAAAATTCACAAAATCTAATAATCTGAAATCAATATTTTTTTAATACATCTGCGCATCATTAGTTTTGCAGATTCCAACCATGCGTGGTCACAATGTAGACACCTTGAAGTCATTGAAAATTCACAAAATCTAATAATCTGAAATCAATATTTTTTTAATACATCTGCGTTCATAGAACTTTGGGTCTAAGTTTGGGAGAGTCTGAACTGAACTTTCAACTGAGAGAACTAGAATCAACGCTCATATTCTTCTGATTTACCAATTGTGATATATGATTATCCCTTCTGTCAAAAGCAGCAGTATTCAGCAATGGAAAGAAACCCTTGATAAAGAACATTACCAGCATATGATTCTTTCCAATATTTTGCCACATATTATAAAGTTTTTTTCCTAAAACAATGATCCAAAAAACATTGGACATGTTTACCTGAACATAAATTGTAATTTTTATTTATTTTTATCTTTACATTTAATCTTATTTAAATTCTCTAGCTTTAATATTAATCTGATTGTAATTCTATGTCTCAAGATTTTCTAGCTTGAATTTTCCTCTGACCTTCTTTGCAGGAGAATGTGACACTAGTTCCTGGTGGGATCCTCTTCTCGGTAGTCGAAGGTACTGTGTTTTCTGACAGTTCTGGGACAGTGCACTGCTTTTCTTTAATTTTAGTGAGAAGACATAATACATTTTTCAGTTAAACTCTTTAAAATAAAAGGGAAGTTTAAAAACAAATCAATTGTCAGTCACTAGACAAGCCTAGGATCAAACTTTTACAGCGATAATGACTCACTTTTCAACCCCCAAGGCCCCTCTCAAATTTAGTTAAATGGTTACTGATCATATGTGGTGATTTGTTCTCATCCCCCAACGCAAACTGATAAGCAACACTCAATTCTGCTGGGTGCTGTCCATGGCTGGTCAGGGGTAGATAGTACATGTGTGGGTGAGGTCAAGCTTTTTACCAATCGTTGTTTTAAATGTATAATTTTCTGTAATTGCTAATTTTTATGTGAAGCGCAGTGAGAGTACCCATAGGCTGGGGTTCTGCGCTATATAAAAATAACTTAATAATAATAATATGGCACATTGGTAATTTTTAACTTATTAATGAATTGCAAGTTTGTTTATTTTGAAGAACGAAATTTAAATTTTAATAAAATATTGTTAGCGATTTTAAGTAAAATATAAAAAAATTATAATAATTTGCACTTTGCAGTATGCTGATACTTTTTAAAAATATGTGACAGGGATTATACATATATCTGACAGGAATCATACATATATCTGACAGGAATCATACATATATCTGACAGGAATCATAATATATCTGACAGGAATCATAAATATATCTGATGTTAATCATACATAGATATACTATGCTCTTAATTCAAGTAATCCCAGATCATTGATAAAAACTATGCTCTGAGTAAGACAAGGGACCTTTAAAGTCAAGTAATCCAAGGCCTCACTAAACATCTGCCTCAACCTTCTACATATTTAAAACTCACAGACACAGTCGGGTGTATCATGGTCCCAGACTTCACTAAAAATCTCTCTCAACCTTCTACATCATTTCAAACTCACCAACACAGTCGGGTGTATCATGGTCCCAGACCTCACCAAACATCTGCCTCAACCTTCTACATAATTTAAAACTCACCGACGCAGTCGGGTGTATCAAAGTCCCAGAAACCAGAATCTGTGCAGGTCAGAGTTTTTTCACCATGTATCTCGTAGCCAGGTTTGCACTCAGCAATAACTGTTTTACCGTACGTGAAGTCCTTGCCCTTGATGAAACCGTTCCTAATTCTGCCTGGATTGCCGCAGTCAGTTACTGAAAAGTCAAAAGTCATCACAAATAAATCAGTCATTGGATGGTGGTGAGAGCATATTAAAAAATGAAGTGAATTAGTTGATCTCTAGATTGAAATTTCTTTGCCAAGTCTGAGAATTCAACATTTTTAAATCCTTTATATTTACTTTGCCTTTGTTTATGGCAGGCAAAATCTTCTGAAAAAAACTGACTGACTTCCCGTCAACCTAATGCGCTGAAACTTGGCACATGGACTAATTGGCAATGACAATACATTATATCAAGTTTTCAGCCCCAAAACCAACCACCTACAATAATATTTTCCTGTTTTTTTCAAGGGGACATGAAGGAAATATGACTAACTGCACTAAATGAGAATTTAAAAAAAAATATTGCATGTGTGTTTGGTGCACAATATTTTCTTTTGTTTTTCTGAAGAGGTTGGTGAAATAAATCTGCGGAGAATAATAATTAAACATTTTTTTTTTTTAAAGTAAAAACGCATATAAATAATTTATACAAAAAGAACCTTTGTTTTTAGTGATTGTTTAGTTTCTTTAATTTATTTTCAAAGCTTTAATTTTTCCAACAACACAGAGCAATGACTCACTTATGCACTCAGGGATCTCCCCATCATACTGTCCAGACACCAGACACTTGAGCTCGGCCTTGCCAGTCATGCTGTAGCCTAAATCGCATCTGAAGTCCACCTGGGAGCCTGGTTTTGTGTCTGTGAAGTTGACCCCGCCATTGCGAGGGGCCGTGGGTGTAGGGCAGTCTGTACCATGGAAAGATGTACCACACAAGTGAAACATAAGTTGCATGGTGTTTTTCTAAATTTTTAGTAATTTGTAGAGAAAAAAAGATTGACAAGTGGTTTTACCAGAGCATTGCTCAAACACGTTTGAAGTATTTTTTCTATAGACCTTTATAAATCGACAAAATAAGTCTTATGGGCATAGGTATTCTGTCATGCTCATATTGCTACTAAATGTTCCACACTTACCAAAGCTAAACATTTCCACGTCAATGTTTCATCACACAGCTACGATGTGGTGACATTAAATAGAAAAAAACATACTCTCATATGATATATGTGTGCGTTGGCGACACTTTACCTGGTGTGTTGATAGATATTTTTATTTTAAGAGTTTTATTTCATTCGACCAGGAGAGGAGCTAGCTGAGGAGCAGGCCCCTAACTTAAAGCCACACTCTTTTAATAAAAGGTTCATGTTTTCATCACATAGCTCCCAATATGTTCATCATTTAAAGTGATGTTTCCATCACATTGGTCCCCATATTTTCATTATTTAAGGCCATGCTGATTTTGCTCATAACCAAGTAAATGCTGTCCCTTTATAATTTCTTATATACGCCAACTATAATTTGTCATGAAGGCTTTTCTTGACTGACATGTGTGTTGATTTCCTGATGTTTACGTCTCAGTTACCTAATAAACTGGTTAGATTTAAAGTTCTTTGTTGTTTTGCAAACTGTGACAAGAATGATGCTGTATTGAGAGTTCATCAAATTAGAGGTCAATGGGGAGCCAGTTGTAAATTATAGAAAAACTAAGAATTGATAGAACTGATGTTTGTTTTCTTCACCAAACCGATTCACACAGATTTCACTCACAGCATTATCTTAGGAGAACACAGATTTCACAGCATTCTCTTAGGAGAACACAGATTTCACAGCATTCTCTTAGGAGAACACAGATTTCACAGCATTCTCTTAGGAGAACACAGATTTCACAGCATTATCTTAGGAGAACACAGATTTCACAGCATTATCTTAGGAGAACACAGATTTCACAGCATTCTCTTAGGAGAACACAGATTTCACAGCATTCTCTTAGGAGAACACAGATTTCACAGCATTCTCTTAGGAGAACACAGATTTCACAGCATTCTCTTAGGAGCACACAGATTTCACAGCATTCTCTTAGGAGAACACAGATTTCACAGTATTATCTTAGGAGAACACAGATTTCACAGCATTATCTTAGCAGAACACAGATTTCACAGCATTCTCTTAGGAGAACACAGATTTCACAGCATTCTCTTAGGAGAACACAGATTTCACGTCATTCTCTTAGGAGAACACAGATTTCACAGCATTATCTTAGGAGAACACATATTTCACAGCATTATCTTAGGAGAACACAGATTTCACAGCATTATCTTAGGAGAACACAGATTTCACAGCATTCTCTTAGGAGAACACAGATTTCACAGCATTATCTTAGGAGAAGACAGTTTTCACAGCATTCTCTTAGGAGAACACATATTTCACAGCATTATCTTAGGAGAACACAGATTTCACAGCATTATCTTAGGAGAACACAGATTTCACAGCATTATCTTAGGAGAACACAGATTTCACAGCATTATCTTAGGAGAACACAGATTTCACAGCATTATCTTAGGAGAAACTAACAAAAAAATCTAGCTCAGTAATTATTCATGCATTTACTATTTGTACAAATAATGTTAACACAAATTAAAATTAATTAAAACCATAAACGAGTCTTTTTAATTTTTTTTGTTTATAAAACCCGTTAAATAATGAAAAATTGTTAAATTTAGTAACACAAAGACATGTTAATATTTGGTCATAGTTGAAAGCACTTCAAGAATCTGCTCACATCAAATTCAAAACAGTATTTTATTACCATCTGAAAATATGCACGATTACAGTAAGAAACAAAAATCCTGTTGCACTATCTAGTAAAAAAAAAACTACAGTTTGGTCTTTTGGATTGATCTTAAACAAATTAGATACAAAATGGTCATTTCAAATCTTAAAAATTATAAATAAATATTACTATATAGTAAGTACTATAATTGCAGGATTTATATAAACAAAGCTGGTTAAAAGGAAACTAACTTTCTTCTAGCATTTCTTCTGTTATTCCCTGGTTATATGTCAAATGATGCAAAACTAAATTAAGGTATGCACCAAATTGCATTTTAAATTTATAAAAAATTATGGCGTCAGCGAGCCGTCGAGATAATACAGGCGCTTTATGCCCTCACCAAAATTCCCCTCCACCCACCCCTCTGGCACATTGGAGATCTCCTTTTGCCAGGACCACCCCCAGCTACACCCACGTGATCAAATACTAGCGGAGGATCCCAAGCGCAAGGATACGCGGTGATGCTGCTCTCACAGAAGGAGTCATCATTCCCAAGAGTTGGAATGGTTTATTTATGTCCTAAAATCTTCCCCTAAAAACCTCACCCGTGCCCATCCCTGGGAAGCATCAGATTCTACGGTGGGTTTCTACCTTGCAACTACTTTACAAAGCAGCTGGGATGAAATGGTTTCCTAAGAACAGCTACCTCAATTGCTGTGTAAATAGTATCACTGGCATCCCTGCACTGAAAGGTTTTATTTTTAAGTTTATGTACATAAAATCAATCAGACAAATAACTAAGTTTTTCATATAGCAAGCAATAATTCTTTACAATCTATACATAAAATGTGCATAAAGTGATGTAAAACCAACAATACATAACAATATTGTAAATGTTAAGTAGCAAAAGGGATTTACTCCATGCTGGACATTTTGGTATCATTCTTGTGGTTTGAGAATATCTGAAACAGGAGGATAAAAAAAACAAAGCTGTAGGTGCCTGCTTTTGATGGGTATTTTTTGCTGCACAGCAGTGGTTGACAAACAAACACAATGCAATTTAAACATTTCTGGGATACAGCAAATGTATCAAAAGTACATTCAGTTTTTAAAAAACAGCTGGTCCAGAATGGAGCTGGGTCAGGGGTTTATTCTCAAGGAAGTCATAGACAGTTTGGAAACTTGGAGATGTGGTATCTCAAAAATACATTTTTTGTTGTATCTCATAAATACATTTTTTGTTGTATCTCATAAATACATTTTTTGTTGTATCTCATAAATACATTTTTTGTTGTATCTCATAAATACATTTTTTGTTGTAGGCCTATCTCATAATACATTTTTTGTTGTATCTCATAAATACATTTTTTGTTGTATCTCATAAATACATTTTTTTGGTATCTCATAAATACATTTTTTTGGTATCTCATAAATACATTTTTTGTTGTATCTCATAAATACATTTTTTTGGTATCTCATAAATACATTTTTTTGGTATCTCATAAATACATTTTTTTTGGTATCTCATAAATACATTTTTTGTTGTATCTCATAAATACATTTTTTTTGGTATCTCATAAATACATTTTTTTGGTATCTCATAAATACATTTTTTGTTGTATCTCATAAATAGGCTAGATTTTTTTTGGTATCTCATAAATACATTTTTTGTGGTATCTCATAAATACATTTTTTGTGGTATCTCATAAATACATTTTTTGTGGTATCTCATAAATACATTTTTTGTTGTATCTCATAAATAAATTTTTTGTGGTATCTCGTAAATACATTTTTTGTGGTATCTCGTAAATACATTTTTTTGTGGTATCTCATAACTACAATTTTTGTGCTATTTCCTAAATACATTTTCTTTTAACTATTTTAAGTCCAAATTCTTAAGTACATGATGTTCATTAACTGAATGGCACAGTATCGTAATTTAACGATTCACCTGTTATATCTTTTATATTGATCTTTTATAACAAACTAGCAAGAAACACATAAAATGAACAGATGAAATCCTATGATAAACTAAACAGATCAAAAATAGATGGGAGAATTTACACAGCCCTGTATTAAAACTAACGTTCTAAAATAAGATCCTCCAAAGCAAGAAAGACTTTCTAAAACATTACAGTGACATTTTAGAGTTGTTTGGAAGACATTCCACATTGAAAGCAAGGTGATCCCCCAAAGCAAGAAAGACTTTCTAAAACATTACAGTGACATTTTAGAGGTGTTTGGAAAATGTTCCACATTTAAAGCCAAGTGGATCATGCCCTGAGGAGACGTGCAGAAAGGTGAAGCCATGCACAAATTTAGCTCCAAAAAGTAAAATAAAACTAATTTAGTTGTAAACAATTTTTGCCTCAAAACAAATTTTTTTTTTAGAATGGATGTTTCCATTCATTTATGTGGGTGAATGGAGACCTCAAATAAAGGTGGAGACAGATACTTCGATGTACGTATTGATGTAAATATGTAGAATTACGTTTAAAATATGCCCAACAAGACCTGTGATCATTCTTCTATACAGATTCAGTTGGCTGACAAAGGAATACAAAGTGCAGATGGTTTTTAGTTAAAGTTTTAAAATTAAGTTAGAATAAGCTCAGCTTACCCTGACAGAAATAGGATGGTGTTTGGGCCACAGAGCCCTTGATGGCCGCTTGGACTGCTGACCAAGATATGACGTTGCCCTGGAATGAGTCACAACTGAAGCGAAGCCTGCCGATGTCAGACCAGGAAAGTTCTTGGTCAAACACATTGAGCTGTGAGATTGATCCCACAAATGTCTCGCCTGGACTGAAACCTCCACCAAATGTGTCTTGCTCCTGACCCACTATGAATTTCCCTTTTCCTGGAATACAAGGACACAATCTTTAATAATAATTGAAAACTTCCTCCAAATATATGTCATTATTCCTACAAGTCATACATTTTTAAGGAGTTTTTTTTATATAAGCTCACAAAGAGTTTTTGAGTATTAAGTAATTATCTTTATTCTATTAAATCCTTGAGTTTATTTTATTTTTTTCATGAGTACATCCCAGAAAAAAAACTTCATCTACAAATGACCACCCTGTTCCATTGAATAAACGCTTTATTCTGTAGATGTCATTACCTGGGATGGTTTTCCCAGTGGACAGGTCGGACCCTTCGTCAATGAGGATGCCATCAACATAAGCCTTCCAGCCTCCCCTGAAGCTGGACCAGGACAAAGCCACGTGGTGCCACACGCCATCTGTCAAGTTTACTCCAACATTACGCTGCTCCCCACTGACCATCAAAACCAAGCTGATCAGCAGATATAAAAATAACAATGACAGATCCCCTTGTAAAGTGCTTTCTATTTAACAACATTCAACTACGAAATAACTCCAAACCTGTGAATTACATTAATCTAATTCAGATAACTTATAAATGATTCATTTCATACATTTGGAGCCATTTGGTGGGCTTTTTTTTTGTCAACTTTGAAAATTGATGGATTTGCATGACACAAGGCTAAAACAGTACAAGAACTCACTTTTTATAGTTCGTTACAGTGAATGCATTAGGATCATCACTGACGGCATATGAAAAGGGTGTTCCTTGATTGACTTGGTCACTGGTTTTGATCCAAAATGAAGCTGTCACGGTTGTCATAGGTTGATCGATGGTCAGCTCAGCATAGTCCAAAATAGTTGGCGTGACAAAATCCAGTTGATACTGGGATGTTAGGACTATTAGGAACAAAACTCAAATGAAATATTAAATGAACCAGGATACATAAAAGTATAGTGGCTTGAATACAGTTGTTCTTTAGATTCAAACAGGTCAACGCATTTTTAGATTCTTACAGAGAATATTTAAATCACTTGACTTTTTAATCAAATTTTTCAATATTTAACTTTAAGCAATGTGAACATATATAATCAAGTTTCTAAACTTATTTAATCAAGTTTCTAAACAAAGCACTTTCATTAGTATTTCAGCATGCACTCGTCTCGCAGTGGATTTGACAAACCTTTTTCACATTTTTTGCCAGAGAAACCTCCCACACAGTGGCATTTGTAGTCGTCCAAGAGATCTTCACAACGAGCACCGTTTTGACAAGGGCTGTCCGCACACTCATCAATCTCTGTCTCACAACTTTTGCCAGTGTAACCACGCGTGCAGGTGCATCTGTGGCAACATACATTTCACAGTCATTCTCTTCATTAGTGTTTACAGAAGCACTTAGCTTACAGAAGCACTTAAACTTAAAGACAAATAAAACAATTTTGCTTGAATTTACAACATAAATTAAGTCATGCTTTAATCAGTGATGTCATAGTTTTATGTGATGAAAAGGTTTAAGGGCTAGCGCTGTATTCAGATTTAACCCCAGGTAAACTCCCTGCATAACTTACTTGTAATCTCTTGGGAGATCCTGGCAGGAGCCACCATTCTGGCAAGGGGCTGACATGCATTCGTCCACATCAATCTCACACACGTCTCCAGTGTAGCCCGATGGACACTGGCACTTGAAACTGGTAGGTGTGTTGACACACGTCCCTCCGTTCAAACAGACAGCATCAGTGCAATCATTAACAGCGCTGCTACAAGTTGTTCCTGTCAAATTATTTTTTTATTTCAAAATTTAAAATACTCTGCCAGACCTGCTTACTCTATTTTTGCATACAATGTACGAATTGAGATGCTTTTAATTATTGAATGTCACAACTAGGATTTTAAGAGACTGGGTTTAAAAAAATACACTCTGGGCAGTTTTCATCATTTAAATATAAAAAAAGAAAGATAAACTTTTTTGGTTGTTAGTTTTGGCTCCTTTCTACATCCGGGGGTGAATGGACAGAGAGATACGATTGATTGAGGACCATCCATATTTCTATTACATAGGCCCAAAGGGGGGGGGGGGGGGAGAGGAGAAGGGGTTTTGACTAAGGGGCATAAGAGTGTGCATGGGAGAGATATGAGATCAGTGTCTAAAAGTGTTTAAAGGCTATCAAATAAGACCGCTACTTTTCATTATGATGGTGATGACCCTCATATTCTCACTTAGTGTTTTAACAATCAACTTGTTAGATACGGCAGCAGTATTATTTAGCATAGTCACCTTAATGACAAATTTAGTGAGCATTTTCTTTTGTTTTCTTTGGCGCTGTACAGAGCAATTTTGTGAAGTTTGAGACATAATTAGTTTGCTCTTCAGCTGAACCGCAATTGAGAAAATGGAGAAAACTGCTGATTTTTTTCATTTTAATTAATGCATTCTCTGCTGCTCCACACAGAAGCGTCAAATTCTGACAATTTCATAAGATCTAGTAAGCGGTATTTGAAATCTATTTTTAGAAGTCTCTATGCAGCTATACAATTTTAGTTCAAGCACTCCTCTTCCTTCTCAATGAATCTTGCTGTGGTTATTAGACTATAATGTTAAGACAAAATAAAGCTAGGCTTACTGCAGAGGTGGCCAAACCACAGCCCTAACATTACATAGTGTGGCCCGCTGGATGGAGCCCAAACGAACTTATTTCTTCATTCAATTACAGATTATTTTCATTCTTGCCATAAAAGCACATTTAAATATAAACCCATCATTTTCTATGATGGTATGCACCATTTCGGTGTACCCACCCCGGCATTTTGAACTGATTCAAATAAAAATGGATGAAATAAATAATCTTAAATAAAAATTAAAAAACAATTTTAATATTTCATAACTACTAAAATAAAAAAGATGTAAATAACCGCAGCTAGGTAGAGGGAACCTAATTTTCCACTAGAATTATGATTAAGTTTGGGATGATACAAAGTATTATTCAGGATTACTTAAAAGTGCATCCCAGCATTTCAAATTTTAAAAAAAAACATCTGGGGAGGGTGCTCAGTCTTTTTAAGCTTAAGAACATACATATGTGGGCCTATAAACCTATTTAAGCTTAAGAACATACATATGTGGGCCTATAAACCTATTTAAGCTTAAGAACATACATATGTGGGCCTATAAACCTATTTAAGCTTAAGAACATATATATGTGGGCCTATAAACCTATTTAAGCTTAAGAACATACATATGTGGGCCTATAAACCTATTTAAGCTTAAGAACATACATATGTGGGCCTATAAACCTATTTAAGCTTAAGAACATACATATGTGGGCCTATAAACCTATTTAAGCTTAAGAACATACATATGTGGGCCTATAAACCTATTTAAGCTTAAGAACATACATATGTGGGCCTATAAACCTATTTAAGCTTAAGAACATACATATGTGGGCCTATAAACCTATTTAAGCTTAAGAACATACATATGTGGGCCTATAAACCTATTTAAGCTTAAGAACATACATATGTGGGCCTATAAACCTATTTAAGCTTAAGAACATACATATTTGGGCCTATAAACCTATTTAAGCTTAAGAACATACATATGTGGGCCTATAAACCTATTTAAGCTTAAGAACATACATATTTGGGCCTATAAACCTATTTAAGCTTAAGAACATACATATGTGGGCCTATAAACCTATTTAAGCTTAAGAACATACATATGTGGGCCTATAAACCTATTTAAGCTTAAGAACATACATATGTGGGTCTATAAACCTATTTAAGCTTAAGAACATACATTTGTGGGCCTATAAACCTATTTAAGCTTAAGAACATACATTTGTGGGCCTATAAACCTATTTAAGCTTAAGAACATACATTTTTGGCCTATAAACCTATTTAAGCTTAAGAACATACATTTGTTGGCCTATAAACCTATTTAAGCTTAAGAACATACATTTAATTTGTGGGCCTATAAACCTATTTAAGCTTAAGAACATACATATGTGGGCCTATAAACCTACTTAAGCTTAAGAACATACATATGTGGGCCTATAAACCTATTTAAGCTTAAGAACATACATATGTGGGCCTATAAACCTATTTAAGCTTAAGAACATACATATGTGGGCCTATAAACCTATTTAAGCTTAAGAGCATACATGTGTGGGCCTATAAACCTATTTAAGCTTAAGAACATACATATGTGGGCCTATAAACCTATTTAAGCTTAAGAACATACATATGTGGGCCTATCATCAGACAATTTAAAGGTGTGGTGATACACATGTTTTTTAATCTATTATTTCAAAACTATCCTTTGAAACTGTTCTATTCCGCCTTTACTCCTGAAACACATCAAATTGAAAAATAAAATGGAAATGTTGTTGTGGGTAGCAACCCTCTTTGTAAGTCCACTTATAATTCATCAGTTTTTATACTCCAACAAAAGTATCATTTACCCAAGTTTTAGTCCAGTGATATTAAATAAGTTATGTCGCAATGACATCCTACCTGTATATAGCATACGACAGTTGCAAGTGAATGAGTTGATGGCATCTATACAGATTAGTGACATTAAATAAGCTATGTCGCAATGACATCCTACCTGTATATGGCATACGACAGTTGCAAGTAAATGAGTTGATGCCATCTATACAGATTAGTGATCTTAAATAAGTTATGTCGCAATGACATCCTACCTGTATATAGCATACGACAGTTGCAAGTAAATGAGTTGATGCCATCTATACAGATTAGTGACATTAAATAAGCAATGTTACAATGACATCCTACCTGTATATTTCATACGACAGTTGCAAGTAAATGAGTTGATGCCATCTATACAGATTAGTGACATTAAATAAGCTATGTCGCAATCACATCCTACCTGTATATAGCATATGACAGTTGCAAGTAAATGAGTTGATGCCATCTATACAGATTAGTGATCTTAAATAAGTTATGTCGCAATGACATCCTACCTGTATATAGAATACGACAGTTGCACGTGATTGAGTTGATGCCATCTATACAGATTAGTGACATTAAATAAGCTATGTTACAATGACATCCTACCTGTATATGGCATACGACAGTTGCAAGTAAATGAGTTGATGCCATCTATGCAGACGCCTTTGTTGAGGCATGGACTTGACCGACATTCATCAATGTTGACCTCACAGTTGGTACCTGAGGTCAAACAAAACCAACAAGTGCTGTCAATATGTCAGTCTAATAGGACAGCAGGGACAACATTGTGGATGGGTGTGTGGGTATTTACTTTATAATAGTGGTTCATTTTTTTTATGGTCATAAAAAGTAAGCAGTACATAAGAAATACATACTTAAAAAGCCATCCTGTTAATGAACATTTGGCCTGGATTCCAAAGCAAACTTCTTGCGTCTGCCCTTGTCACAGATCCTGATGGAAATGTTTGAAAAAGACCTACCTGTGAAACCGTCCTTGCAAAGACACTGGAAGCCACCTGGTGTTGCTAGGCACGTGCCACCATTGTGACAGGGCTTGGCCTCACAAAGATCCAATACAACATCACAATTGGTTCCTGGCAAAGAAACATATTCAACACTGGATAAACAAACAAATCTTCCATCCAGTGGATTGAAATTAATTTCTTTTTGTACATTTGTTACATTTGTTACATTTGTTACATTTGTTACATTTGTTACATTTGTTACATTTGTTACATTTGTTACATTTGTTACATTTGTTACATTTGTTACATTTGTTACATTTGTTACATTTGTTACATAAAAAGATGCAGTGCATGGGTTAAGTTTTTTTTTTTTTTTTCATTTAAAAAAAAAAATGTTAAGCTAGTACTATATAGTGAAAATATCTTTTTTTTTAGAAGCAATCTGAAGTTGAAATTAATGAACTTTGCCATTGGATTGGCCTAGTCTTATGTCAATACAGCAATAAATTTCCCAATGGAATTAATTGAATCATTAATATCATTAATGCAAATCAAATGAAAATAAGTTGAGTGAATTATTTATAATTTTTAGAAGTCCAATTTTTAGAAGTCCATTCATAGTTATTTGAAAAATGTTGTAGAATTAAGCCTAACAGTAGCTCATGGGGGGGGGGGGGGGGGGGGTGAGATAAAAGGTAATAATAGTTCACACTCGTTTGATTTCACTGTATCAAATTCACATTGCTTACTAAGTCAAAGTGTTTGAAAATGTAATCTTTGGGAAATTTTTAAACATTTATATTTATAAATATTTATAAAATATTTAGCTCAAGCTTTTTACCACTGCAGTCAACTACAGTGGAGTAGAATATGCTCTTCTATTGATGCCCAACTAAAAGATTACTTCCCTTTACATGTGATCGCTTCCCTTTTTCTCCAAAAGAAGTCCCAACAATTTAAGTTGAATCACCTGTGTATCCTTTACCACAGAGGCAGTTGTACTGGCCGAATTTGGCAGTCTGACAGGTTCCTCCATTCTCACATGGGCTGTCAAAGCAGGGACTGAAGGGAACACGGAGCTGATCACCGCCTCCCTTCTTGACGGAAAAATCAGACTGAAGTTCCATGGATTCAAGAGCTGACGAGACAAGGGATATCATGAGGAACTTAACCAATGTTTTTTTTTCTGACATACTTCTTTAATATCGTTTACAACATTAGGTTTGAGAACCTGCGTCAACTGCTTTTGATGGACATAGTGTATAACAGCATAACAATCAGTTCAACAAACTTAAATGGCTTGGGATGCTGTTGGGATCAGCAATTATCTTAAGTTAATAAGATATTCATTCAGGCATATGGTCAAATGGCCAGTAAAGAAACTGCTATCGTCATGAAACATTCTTGCATGTCCTCTCTTCTTGTGTGTTCTCTATTCTTGCATATTCTCTCATCTTGTATATTCTCTAACTGCAGAAAAAGTAGCACAGCTTTATAGAAATCTCAACACTATTGAATTAATTTATGTCTTCATACTGTAACAAGGCTGCACACATCTTTACAAATTGGCTGTTAATGACACTAAAACCCACTCATTAACAAGTTAGTTTCTTCAATCTCTTTTAAGAAACTTTTGAGAAATTGCCAAAAAAAACTTTACTCTTAGCAATGAAGATGACAACTGGTTAACTTACGACAGATACAGCCTTGTAACCTTTACTCTTAGCAGTGAAAATGACAACCTGTTAACTTACGACAGATACAGTCTTGTAACCTTTACTCTTAGCAGTGAAAATGACAACCTGTTAACTTACGACAGATACAGTCTTGTAACCTTTACTCTTAGCAGTGAAAATGTCAACTGGTTAACTTACAGCAGATACAGTCTTGTAACCTTTACTCTTAGCGGTGAAAATAACAACTTGTTAACTTACGACAGATACAGTCTTGTAACCTTTACTCTTAGCGGTGAAAATGACAACTGGTTAACTTACGACAGACACAGCCTTGTAACCTTTACTCTTAGCAGTGAAAATGACAACCTGTTAACTTACGACAGATACAGCCTTGTAACCTTTACTCTTAGCAGTGAAAATGACAACCTGCTAACTTACGATAGATACAGTCTTGTAACCTTTACTCTTAGCAATGAAAATGACAACCTGTTAACTTATGACAGATAGAGTCTTGTAACCTTTACTCTTAGCAGTGAAAATGACAACCTGTTAACTTACAACAGTTACAGCCTTGTAACCTTTACTCTTAGCAGTGAAAATGACAACTGGTTAACTTACGACAGATACAGCCTTGTAACCTTTACTCTTAGCAGTGAAAATGACAACCTGTTAACTTACGACAGATACAGACTTGTAACCTTTACTCTTAGCAGTGAAGATGATAACTGGTTAACTTACGACAGATACAGCCTTGTAACCTTTACTCTATGTAGTGAAAATGACAACCTGCTAACTTACGATAGATACAGTCTTGTTCAGATGAGCTCCCTGGAAATGGTATAGAGCCCTCTGACGCACATTGGATGCACTCTATCTGTCCAGATTTCGGCTGATAGCTGTTCAAGGGACAGGGAGTGCAGGGAGCTAACCCAGTTTGACTAGCATGACCAGCAGGGCACACCTCTAACAAAGTTAAATATTTTAACTTTAATCATTAAAAAGAAAAATGCGTATAGCATTAACTTAGAAAATATTGAAAATGTCTCAGACATGAAACGTTTAATGTTTCTTTATTTTATTTACTGAGCATTTTAAAAAATGTAAATATTAGACAATTACTTTTTAAAAAAAAAAGTGTAAATTATGGACATCTACATTTTACAAATAAATTAAGTATTTTAAACATACTTAAAAAATGTAATTTGTTGACATTATAATTGTGTAACAATAAACCACTCCAACATGTTATTTTAGTGCCAAAAATAGTTATCAATTAAATACCCTCACAGTCCTCCTCTCTTCTGCTGCCTCGCTTATGGGTAGTCTTGCCTTTGCTACATGTGTAGCAGAAATCAGCAGAGTAATCTGACTGGTAGGAACCCAGGGCACAGGTCTCACAAGGTTCTAATCCACTGGGTGAAAAACTGCCAGGAAGACACAACGCTAGTGGGAACAAAATATTCAAAAGAAATATTTAAAAAAGGCATATAAAAAAATAAAAATTACTTAGTTGTATGAAAGTCTTATAATAATGTGAAGATTACAGCTCAAATTTGTATTATAATCTTTTTAGATTATACATAAATATAACCGGGTTGTTTTGAAGTTTATACAAGTTAAAAGCCACTTTTTCCCCACACTACAACTCAACAAACATTACAAAAATAGTTAATAATTATAAAAGCCCATAGTTGTACAATTTTCCCTAACATTCCTAAAACTAGCAAGACAGTAGATTAATGAGACAGAATGAAATTTAGTAACTAAAACAATATAGGCTAAGCTTTAATTGCAGTTACACAGAATACAAATGCAAACATTTCAGCAAATGCCTTCGTTGATTCAACAAAAAACAGTCATATAAGTATAAATTAAAGTTACATAATATATATTTATGTATCCTGCCGACAGTTGCATTTTCAGAATGAGAAGCTGCATCTCCTTTAAAAGGATTGCTGGGCCATACACCAAGTCAAGTTAGATAAAAAGCAATTAATCAGGATTCAGATATCAGTCTCATCAATTTAGTTTTTTGGTGACCTATCTCATTTTATTTTTGTTTTTTCTAAGAGAGGTGGACACAAAGAAATAATTGTGAAAGTAAGAGAGATAGCACTGACGTAACAGTACAACTAGCAGACCTGTTTACTCTTACGATTTTGGCGTACAATGTACGATTTTAAGGTGTGTACATGTTTATACTGTGGGTTTATTATTTTACAATTAAGATAATGTTTTAAACGATTTTTGTGATGATATTGTACGATTTGAAGAGTTTGAGGGTAAACAGGTCTGAACTAAGAAAGAACTTTAAAAAAAATAAAAACCATAAATCCTCTGATTGCCAGCACATTGCCCACCTTTACAGTCCTGCTCACTCTTGGCATGTTCTTTGTCAGTGGACTTGTTGTCAGGACATCTGAGACATGTGTTATGCCCTTCCTCAGGTTGGTACGTGCCTTTAGGGCAGTCCATGCACCTCTTTATAATAACATGGAAGAATGTCCCAATGGGACAATTCACTGGAGGCAAAAAGAGTCTTTTTAAAAAAAAAACATCTTAAAATGCTGTATTATAAAATACTCAGTTTTAATAGCGGTGAAACAAACTTGGGTATAATTTTGTGATTTCTGCATCTTAAACTTTTTAAAAAGTATGTATAGAAAAATTCGTTTGATTTCAGTGCATTTAAAAATTATAAGAATCAAATAGAAAAATAATTGAGTAATCTGAACCTACTGATATACAATATATAGAGTTAATTTCATACTATCTTCCATGAAAATTTGGTACAGATAATGATGTGGCTAATTATTTTAATTTATGCCTACAAAATGATTGAGTTTGGCAGTAGAAATAGATTAAAACATGGATATAAAAGATTTTTTATTTGACATATTATGTACAGTTATATTGTTTTACAAATTTAATCTGTTTTAATATTTGTCTCATTGTATGAACCAAACGAAACAAAGGAATGACAACCAGTATACAAAGAAAAAAAAAATCAAAGCCAGTGATATTAACAATAATAAATTTAATAATACTATTAACTTGATAGAGAAAATTCCAACAGAATGGGAAACAGCACTGATAACCCCAATTCTCAAGAAAGACTCCAAACTTCAGTGCACAAACTACAGAGGAATTTCCCTATTAAATTATTAATTGTATTCATACAAAATAATGACTAAGCTAATTGTCAAAAGACTACAACCGTACACTGAAGAAATACTAGATGATTACCAATGCGGATTCAGGCAAAAACGATCAACGACTGATCAGATTTTCGTCATCAGATGACTATTAGAGAAATGTTATGAATATAATATCCCAGTACATCAACTCTATGTGGACTGTGAAATGACCTTTGACAGCATCAAAAGAAAATATCTATATGAGATTCTGTATGATTTCGGCATACCCAACAAACTGATAAGACTGATAAATGTAACATTTAACAATTAAAAAAAGCAAAATCAAAGTTCAAGGAGAATGGTCATGGGAATTTATTTCACAAAAGACGAGGCCTAAGACAAGGAGACTCACTGTCTTGTATGCTATTTAACCTAACATTAGAGAGAGTTATAAGAAGCTTACATATAAACACCCGGGGAACAATAACAGGATACTTTCTGAGGGAAACCCCGGGGCCGACGCCCACGCGTTGCTGTAGTATAGTTATAATATACCTAAGCCTACTAATTCAGAGTTATGACATAGTCAAATGGTCTGAAGGTCAGTCTGACTCCCCTACTATCCCTTCGAGATGAATCTTGAAAAGACCTCTGCATGTTAAGCAGAAAAAAGGGGATTATCAGGGAATTTTATATTCTGCAGAATATATAACGCCAACGGCCACACATAATCTAATTTGCCCAAGGCCCCGCACCCTCCTAGCGCCAGCCCTAGGAAAGACTCACAACTAATGGGCACTCTCTACAATCAACCCCTTCAGTAACTTGCATGTGCTGATGACATAACATTGCTAGAGAAACTTTTAAAGACATATCAAAATCCTTTATTAAATTTAAAGACGCATCACTTCAAGCAGGGCTGGAAGTTAACAGCCAAAGAACAAAATACATGACTGTGATAAGAGAAGAACAGACAGATGAAACCATTAATATTAGAAACCAGACTTTTGAAAAACCTAGGATCTTTATTAATCGAATGAAACGAATTACTAATGGAAGTAAAAGAATATCAGCTGGAAACAGGGATCACTTCAAAAGTCAGAAAATGCTCAAAAGTAAAACCATTACCAGAGAAACAAAGAAAACTATTTATATAATATAATATATAATAATATAATAAATAAAATATACAGACCAACAAAGAATGAATATGGATGGAGAATACGAATCAACCATGAATTATACAGTCTATATCAGGATCCCATGATAGTAACAGAAATAAAATTGGACAGGCCACGCTTGGGCGGGACACTTAGAAAGAATGCCAAATCACAGAAGAATGAAGAGGGTGCATCACCAAAACCCCAGAGGAAAACGGCTTAAAGGCAGACCTAGGCTTAGATGGATGGATGATGTGGGAAAAGGTCTACAACAACTGGGAATCCGAGCATGGAAAAGAAAAGCATTAGTTAGGTTTTGGTGAAAGGAAGTAGTGAGGCAGACCAAAGCCCTACATGGGATGTAGCGCCAAAGGGATGGAAGGATGAAGTTGATATAAAAATTAAAAATCAAATACAGAAATGAAAACGTTATTAACTTACAGCAGGTGAAAAATTATAATACTAGAAAGTTACAAATATTAATACACACAGTGGAAAATCTAGTGATTCTTTTAGGGCTCCTGTATGTCTGGTAAGTCTGTCTGTCTATCACAGTCGATTGTCATATTTATGGTGAGGGAGTCAGAACCCTTCAGAAAAAATGTCTAGAAATGCATCACTAGAGATTAATTTATCACTTTATGTAGTATAATGTAGACCCTACTGGAAACATAAACAAACTTTCCTGATCAAGGAAATTTGGGGGGGGGGGGGGGGGGGGGGGCGCGCGGCGAAGAGTTAACAAAGGAGGAAGGAGGTAAGGTTGCATGTCACGGATCATGGTGAAAAAAAACGAGGTCAACACAAACGCTATAACAAAAAATATTTGGTAAAAACATACCACAGGTATTATTAACTAGGACACTGCCTTCTGGACAGCGGTATGTCTTTAGATCCAGGTCATAGGTCAACTGAGAGAATTTCAGAGTGCGACCACCAACCCTTTGGTCAAGGTTTCCTTTTCTAGCTTCCTTTTGAAGTGTAGTCAGCATTGTGATCAAAGCATCTGGCTCATTAGATTTCTGAGTGGCATTTCCCTTTTTCGTCACAGAACCTAGAACACAAATGGGTAATAGTCAGTTAAGGTCCAAATGGATACTTCAAAAGTATTTATAAATTTTCTCCCTCAACTGCTTTTCTTTGCACTATAGGGAAAATTGTATTTAACATTAATTTCTTTTTTAATCAATAACAATCTTGAGCTGATTGAATTTCCCTACATTCAATCCATACCTTCAAGCACAATCTCAAATGTTAATCTGGATCTTTTATTGGGCAGATCTCTTCTCATTCTTGCTCTTTCTGGGTATTCCCTTACCGCCCTCTTGTTTCTCTCTTTGTTGTAATGCAACAACTCAATCTTGTTGAAATCTAAAATAACATTTAAAATAAAGAATCACCTACATGAATGGAAGGTAAAATTCCTTGAGCCATTTATCAGTGCTACTGCAAATTAAAATACCCCCAACTTATCATCTATGTCAGGGGTGCGCAAACTTTTTGTGTGGAGGTCTACATTGACAAATGTAAAGCTATTGGGGGGCCGCAGGTATATTATGTCCAATTTTACATTGTCGATAAACATTTCTCTGGGTGCTGGGGTGGCCGAGTGGTCTAAACTGGGCAAATCTCAAGTTGGTGGTCTGGAGTTCACCCCGGGTAGACTCGTTAACCCTGGATGGCAACTCATCTAAGAGAAGGAAACTCTGAAATCAAACCCGGAGATGGAGTCCCGAAAGGTGGGTAACATTGGTACAATGAAACATTCCGGCAACTCCTTGGTGCAAGGCTGTATTGTCCAATGATGCTCCCTTGGGTTATCCAGCGGTGTGGAGAGTGGCGATTTGCTGTTGGGAACCAGCTTATAATCCTTGAAGAATAATCCCAGGCCATGTGGATTTCGTCCTCCGAAGCCCACTCCATCGTCACATTGTGACGCACAGATGCCAGCAAAAAAAAAAACCCACCTTTTTTTAAAAAAAAACTTTTATTAAAAAAACAGTCTGTTTACACAGGACTGTTTAAAAAAAAACTTTTATTAAAACAACAGTCTGTTTACACAGGACTGTTTAAAAAAAAACTTTTATTAAAACAACAGTCTGTTTACACAGGACTGTTTATAAAAAACCTTTTATTAAAACAACAGTCTGTTTACACAGGACTGTTTAAAAAAAACCTTTTATTAAAACAACAGTCTGTTTACACAGGACTGTTTAAAAAAAAACTTTTATTAAAACAACAGTCTGTTTACACAGGACTGTTTAAAAAAAAACTTTTATTAAAACAACAGTCTGTTTACACAGGACTGTTTAAAAAAAACCTTTTATTAAAACAACAGTCTGTTTACACAGGACTGTTTATAAAAAACCTTTTATTAAAACAACAGTCTGTTTACACAGGACTGTTTAAAAAAAACCTTTTATTAAAACAACAGTCTGTTTACACAGGACTGTTTAAAAAAAAACTTTTATTAAAACAACAGTCTGTTTACACAGGACTGTTTAAAAAAAAACTTTTATTAAAACAACAGTCTGTTTACACAGGACTGTTTAAAAAAAACCTTTTATTAAAACAACAGTCTGTTTACACAGGACTGTTTAAAAAAAAACTTTTATTAAAACAACAGTCTGTTTACACAGGACTGTTTAAAAAAATAGAAAATTAAAAAGAAAGTTGATCAAAAATGTTCAAACAAAACAATCCTAACGGTACATGAAATGCTTTAAAATACCACAAAATAACTTAAAAACAAAGTAATTTTTTTCATTTCTAAATGCCTTCGAGGGCCGCATAATTGTCAGTCCCGGCTCGTGGGCCTTAGTCTGCCCACCCCTGATCTATGTTAATCAGGTCTTACTGAGAGTTCCCAGTGTGGATGGACACAGAAAGAAATCATACGGAGTGCGCTCTTTTGAAGCTATTGCTCATAAATTGTGGAAAAGTTTGCCTCAGTATTTGAGTGAAATTGAAAATGATACAATAATCATTTAAGATACTTTTAAAGACTTTTTTCTTTAAATTGATTTTAGGACATAAGAACACTGTGAGCATGCTACAATAGCATGGACACAAGCGCACTCAGTCATCATCATCATATGTTTATACTTTTTAAAGTTGTTAAAAATAAAACAGCAACAGGAGTCTTGGGCTTGCTGCAACTCTCCAGTTGAATACATGAAATCAGTTTAGGCGGCTTACCTTCTTCTTCCTCACACACTGACTTTAAAGATCCCACAGAGCAGCTGATCTCATTTTCACAAACACTGGACAACTGTGGGAGAAGTCAACATGTGATGTTACAGTGCTACGTTGTAACCAGCTGCAAATACAACTTGCCAAAAAAAACAATAAACTTGGTACTATTTCAAGCAACATATGCAAGCCAAACTTGGACCCTAACGAAAATGGCAGAAAACCTATTAAACACATGGGAGAGAACATTTCTCCGGAAAGTATACGGACCATAACAAAGGAAGAATATGGATGTAGGAAACAAACCAAACAGGAATTTTATAGTCTATATCAGGATCCCACCCTAGTAGCAGAAATCAAAAAGGTCAGGCTGCATCAGTCAGGTCTGTGTGGAAGGATGTGATGAAGCAGGCAAGAGCTCTACATGGGATGGATGTACTGTTTCTATTGAACTAACTAATGAAAAGATTTTAAATGATGTTTGTAACTAAAAGTCTGGCTTACATCTGGGTCATATCAGCAGAATGAGCTAATCTTATAAGAATTATGGGTTAGTATAAATCTTCCTAATACATAATTGTAACACACCTCTACTCTGACATGGCGTGGGATGGTTATTTCTTATGCTGTGGGTTATGTCAGTAGTATGGTTACTTATATTAACACTTCAGGATGCCGACTCAGTCTTCTTCATTCTTTCACTTTACATGGCGTGGGATGGTTATTTCTTATGCTGTGGGTTATGTCAGTAGTATGGTTACTTATATTAACACTTCAGGATGCCGACTCAGTCTTCTTCATTCTTTCACTTATTATTCAGGCACGTAAAGAAGAATACTCCATGCTAGTTAAAACTCACAGTACTTTATTGAACACACTTTATATTGATAATATTAATAAATAATCCTTGCATGAATGTAATTTCACATATATATCTATAGTATTCCATCATTAAGAAAGACACGTCCTCAGACTACTATAACTCAGCTCAACTGACTGTCTAATCTCACAGCTCTCACGCTACTGACTCTACTGCTCTGCGCTCAGCTCTCCTTATCTCAGTCAACTCATACTTCATTACCAGCAAAGCGTGCAAAACAACCGCTCTGACAAAACATAATTTTACTCTCCAAAAACGTGGAGTTCACATTTGTTCTCAAAAATACAATCCACATTGATTGTCTCTCCCCGTGGAAAAACCTGGTGAACACACTCACTGTCCACTCATGCTACCTC